ATCATCATCATCATTTTCATCATCGTCATAATCACCGCCACCACCATCATCATCGTCATCATCACCATTTTCATCATTTTCATCATCATCATCATCACTTCCACCACCACTATCATCTTAATCATTATCATCATCGTCGTCATCATCATCGTCGTCGCCATCGTCACCATCACCATCACCATCATCAGCAACACCACCACCATCACAATAATAATCATCATCATCGTCATCACCATCAACACCATCATCATCATCAACATCATCATCATCGCTATAATCAACAACACCTCCCGCATCATCATCATCATCATCATTATCATCATCACCCACACCACCACCATCATCATCATCATCGTCATCATCATCATCACCAACACCACCACCATCATCATAATCATCATAATCATCATCATCGTCGTCATCATCGTCATCATCATCATCATCAGCATCATCATCATCATCATCATGATCATCATCGTCGTCAAAATCACCACCACCACCACCATCATCATCATCATCATCGTCATCATCATTATCACCACCACCATCATCACAATCATCCTCATCGTTATCATCATCATCATCATCATCATCTTCATCATCGCCGACACAACCACTACCATCATTATAATAGTCCTCAACATCATCATCATCATCATCATCATCGTCATCATCATCATCATCACCATCACATACCGTCACCAACACCATCACCATCATCATTATCATCATCATTGTCATCATAATCAGCAGCAGCAGCATCATCATCATCATCGTCATCATCATCGTCATAATCAGCAGCAGCAGCATCACCATTATCATCATCATCATCATCACCATCATCATCATCATCACCATCACCATTATCGTCACAATCATCTTCATCGTCATCATCGTCATAATCACCGCCACCACCCATCATCATCATCATCATCAGCATCATCACCATCATCATCATCATCACCATCATCATCATCAGCAGCATCATCATCATTATCGTCACAATCATCTTCATCGTCATCATCGTCATAATCACCGCCACCACCCATCATCATCATCATCATCAGCATCATCACCATCATCATCATCACCATCATCATCATCAGCATCATCATCACCATTATCGTCACAATCATCTTCATCGTCATCATCGTCATAATCACCGCCACCACCCATCATCATCATCATCAGCATCATCACCATCATCATCATCAGCATCATCATCACCATTATCGTCACAATCATCATTCATCGTCATCATCATCACCATCATCATCATCACCATCATCATCATCATCCATTATCGTCACAATCATCTTCATCGTCATCATCGTCATAATCACCGCCACCACCCATCATCATCATCATCATCATCAGCATCATCACCATCATCATCATCACCATCATCATCATCATCATCAGCATCATCATCACCATTATCGTCACAATCATCTTCATCGTCATCATCGTCATAATCACCGCCACCACCCATCATCATCATCATCATCAGCATCATCACCATCATCATCATCATCACCATCATCATCATCAGCAGCATCATCATCATTATCGTCACAATCATCTTCATCGTCATCATCGTCATAATCACCGCCACCACCCATCATCATCATCATCACCATCAGCATCATCACCATCATCATCATCACCATCATCATCATCAGCATCATCATCACCATTATCGTCACAATCATCTTCATCGTCATCATCGTCATAATCACCGCCACCACCCATCATCATCATCATCAGCATCATCACCATCATCATCATCATCACCATCACCATCATCATCATCAGCATCATCATCACCATCATCATCATCAGCATCATCGTCATCATCGTCATAATCACCGCCACCACCCATCATCATCATCATCATCAGCATCATCACCATCATCATCATCATCATCAACATCATCATCACCATCATCACCATCATCAGCATCATCATCACCATTATCGTCACAATCATCTTCATCGTCATCATCGTCATAATCACCGCCACCACCCATCATCATCATCATCATCAGCATCATCACCATCATCATCATCATCACCATCATCATCACCATCATCATCACCATTATCGCCACAATCATCTTCATCGTCATCATCGTCATAATCACCGCCACCACCCATCATCATCATCATCTTCTTCTTCATCTTCATCATCATCACCATCATCACCATCATCATCATCACCATAATCATCATCATCATCATCACCATCATCATCATCACCATTATCGTCACAATCATCTTCATCGTCATCATCGTCATAATCACCGCCACCACCCATCATCATCATCATCATCAGCATCATCACCATCATCATCAGCATCATCATCACCATCATCATCATCAGCATCATCACCACCAATATCGTCACAATCATCTTCATCGTCAAATTTGGGAGCCCATCTTTCCAGCTTTGGTAGGAGATCCTGGCGGGTTTCCGCAGCACCTGGGCCGGAAAGCTCCAAGACACCGAGGACGCGACCGCGGAGGCCGCGGAGACCGCAGAGGCCGCGGAGGCCGCGGCAACGGAGGCGCCTGAGGCCCCGAAGCCGGAACCCTCGCGGTGGTCGCGGTCGCCGTCGCGGTCGCCGTCGCGGTCACGGTCACGGTCCTTGCGAGCCTTGGGGAGGAGGAGATCGAAATCTTCATCCAGTTGAGTGGTGAAGAAATTGGAAGCTGTTGGAAGATATTTGGATGATCATTGCCGAATGATTTGAATGATGATAAATGATGCAGAAATAATTTAAGATCTATGAGCTTGTGAGCTTTGCGCTGCTGAGAGCTGATGGCTGCGTCATGGCTGCGTATATTCGGAGAGTGTTTGAGAGGGCAAAAGGGGTTGCAAGACGTGGGGATTGATAGTTGGTTGCAGCAGCTGGTTGCGGGCCGCCACATGGTGCTGAGTGATTCTTGTGCTTGGCTTCGCTGACCGCAGATTTCCAGCACACCTGTTGCAAGACAAGTAAAAACGAAACCAAACAAAACAGACAGATTGAGGTCGAGTTGTATGGAGTTACCAGGTATATCATGCGAACATAATGATATTATACACGTGTTGAGGGTGTTTTTTGCAAACGAGGCAACATTTATCAAAATGTGTTCATGTTATATCGTTGTGTTGGGTTTCTTCGTAGCTTTCCCAACGCATTGGTCGAAGCACCCAAATCGGCGACATGGCTGAACTGCCCGAAACGTTGTCAAAGCTGAGCGACGTTCGGAAGCAGCAAACCGCTTCCCTGCAGACTTTGGAACGTTTGACCCAGCAGCAGCTCAGCGAGTTCATCCGAAAGAAATCGTTTCCAGAAATGAAGGGACCCCAAAAATATCCAACAAATAATGCCATGTCAATGCGTTTTTTCCATCATAAACCATCCATTTGTGGGCTATCCCCATTTATGGAACCCCCCATTATATATTGATCATTGTTGACCCCTGAGGTCAGTTGATATGTGCAATATTGTGCAATCACATGTGCATATCTTGTCGCCGGGAGATCTGACTTTCAGTGCCGTGCCGTTTCAAGTCCATCAAAAATCTCAATGAGATTAGTTGATATGTGTTTTTGATCCACACTTCAAATATCATTCTGAAAAAACAAAGTGATCTACCCGGTATCCCTTTATTTTGGGCCACTGGAACCATGGTAACCATCCGCATTTGGGGGCGGTACTGATAGCCGCAGGCATCGCGAATGGCACAAGGCGGTGGATGACTTGTTGCAGGAAGTCGACCAAGCCTTAAAAGCGAAGCAGCTCTCGCAGCTCCCATCGCCAAAGGAACGGCGATGAAATTTTCACTGTGGGGAGCATGTTGTTTTTGCTTATGCCTTTCCCGGATGCTCCGTGTATGGTTTATTGACCTGCATTTGGGTGATTTATGGGGTAAATGTTGGTAAATATTCCATGCATGGAGCATATGGGTTTGAATATTGGATAGAATCCTGAAAAACGGGGGGCACAGAAACCAAACTTGACTTTTCGGATGGTGAATAAGCAGGAAGAAGACATGAAAACACAACGGACATTTGATTTTCAGATGACAAAGCATGAAAGAAACATTAAAAATAAACACCAATCATCAGCAAAAAATCTTAATATTGCTAATCCCCAAAATGAACAAATTGGCAGTGAGCTATGGTGGTTGATGGTTTTGATTCTCGTGTCGAGTCCAGTCCAAAAATGGAGATATACTCAATTATCCCCAATCCATTGCAGTTTTAATGTGGGAACTGAAGCTTGAAAGCTGTGAAACCATTGGAGATGATTTTAGGCTTTTCCATGAACTTTCAAGTATGCCGCAGCCAACTTTTGTTCCTAGGAGGTGGATGAAGACCACAACACCTCGGGGCTGTCCTCGGAGCAATTTTCTAGTTTCAGCGCCAGGCGGAGAGTGTGATCTGCAAAACTATGGGCGCCCCATGGTGACAAGTTTTAAAAATCATCATTTGATGAGTGTATGATGAGTGTTAGTGGTGTGGGCTGTTTTTTTTTTTTTTGTAAAATTATAATCATAATCAAATTCGTGAGTGGTGTGGGAGATCTAGTGGGCACTTTCTTACTTTTTAAATATGTTTCCATTTTACCTTGTCCCACTCTTTAGGTGAAAATCAGAGGCTAAATGTGGGAAATACTGCGAAAATGGTACTATCCAGTTAGGCTGCCGGCCTGCTGAATTTTGAATAATCCTGGGAGGTTAGGTGGAAACAAGGTTGGTGATGTGCATTGTTTTGGAGATGATCTGCATATATGTGCCATGGTCAAATGGATTCCATGGCCATAATTTCTTATGTTTTTGAGGATGGCCATACCACCATGAAGAAATTGAATTAAAATGGCAAACGTAAGGATTACCAATTCATGGCTGGGTGATCATATTCCACAATTCCAATCCAAAAAATGTAAACTTTTCACGGTGGCAAATGATGACAATCGATGTAATTATCATTATCACAACACCTTGCTGGGTCATGTCACCGGTGGATGATGTTTCTAGAGCTGCCAGGGAAAGGAGCAAAATGGAGCCCGTTGGCTCATCGCCAAACTTCCGCGGAAGCAGCGAGACTTTGAACAAACGAGCCACGCGGAGTATGAGTTCGAACTCGCTCCTGAGGCGGGCTGAGGACTGAGGATTTAGAGACCACAAACCATGTCTGGCTGTGAACCAGTCATGAAAGCACTGCCTGTCCGGAATCCTCCTCTGGATGATTCTGGTTTGATATGTTTGTGATATGTTGTGTGGGTTGGGAAGTGGGGTGCTCAAATCATTTCAGTCTGAGAAGGCAGTCTGAGAAAGCAATGTGAGACGCAATTTTTCAAGGATTCTCATACCTCAAGTTACCCAAACTTCATAAGAAACGTGCCTTCACACACATCAGTTTACAGTAGCAACCCAAAAACATCGAAAGAAAGTTAAAAGTAAGTCATCATAAATGATCATAAATCATCAGAAATCATCATTGACCAGCATTAATCAACATAAATCATCATTAATCATTGATGAGCATAAATCATCATTAATCATTAATCATCATAAATCAACATTAATCATGAATCAGCATAAACCATCATTATTCATTAATCAGCAAAAATCATCATTAATATTCATTACTCATGAATCAGCATAAATCATCATTAATCATAAATCGTCATAACTCATCATTATTTCATTAGCATATTAATCATCATCAATCATCATTATTCATCATACATGTCATAAATCATCATTATATCATTGTTCGGGGCTTATAGATGTGGCCTTCGCCGGCGGCCGCAGGTCTCGCACCACCTTGGCACAAGACTTTCCCCAAGGACCTCTACGGAAAGTGGTGGTGGAGGTTATGGCGGATGATCACTTCCAGGCCGGTGGGCGGATGATCTCTCTATGAGGTGAGGATTAAATGATTAGCCAATAAATGTCAACAAGATGATTTTTCTAGATGATGTTTAATTTTTAGATGATCTAAGAATCAAGATTATGATATTAATGATTTATATATATATATATTGTTTACATATATATAGTAAATGTTCACATAATGAATCATTGAATATGACAACTACGTCAACATGTTCATCATCATATGATCATTATATATAGCTATCATAATTTGTCATATCAATATAATTACAATCCTTTATTATGATGCTGTTGTTTGGCCACCTCCAATGTCCAGGCGGGCGAAATCGACACCTGGTGGGCTCGCGCGCAGAGCATTGCTGGGGAGATCGTGAGCTCGCGGTGGTTTGAATTCACAGCGGGCTTTGTGATCCTTCTGAGCCTTGATTGATACCCTCCTTCGGAATTTGTCTCAATAAACTATAGAAAATCACCATGCTATTAATAGGTAAATCAACTATAAACTATGAGTTATATATACCCTCTGGGAATTTGTTACAATAGCTATTGAAAATGACCATAGAAAGAGTGGATTTACCCATTAATAGCATGGTGATTTTCCATAGCTACGTGGCTGCTTACCAGAGGGTAACTGGTTATTCAACATAGCCATGTAAATAAATGATTTCAGGGGTCAACAATGTGGTTGAATTATAGTGACCTCACTGTGATCTCACTGGAATCAAATGGTTGCAAGATTCAGGTGAAACACTATCATTTACCCAGAATGATGATACCGTATTCAGAACACGTTTGCCAAACAGAAACTCATGTAGCAAACCCAATGCCATAAACAATCCCCAATATTGCAAAAAATGGGTGATATAAAAGATCCCCAAATGGCAGTTGTTTATGATTGGGTTTACCACATTAAATACATTCTTAACATGACTCAACATGATTGGCCGACAAATTCATTTGTTGATCATTCCAACTTGGGCCTTAGACTTGAGAACTAAAACTTAAACCATGAACTTGAATCAATCAACTTATATAATCGTTGGGTCGTTCAAACAAGATCAAGGCTATGAAGACTGGGTTGACACAAGTTTCGTTTGCCCTCATGGGGATTCAAAGGATTCAATCCCCATGCAGCAGCATGGCTAGTTCAAGTCAACAAAACAAGGCGTTTCTGGTCTTATCACCGCCACATGCGGATCAGTCAGTGATTTGATGTGAAAGGACGCGGGATATACCATTAAGGAATCTGATCACCATCGGCATAGAAGCACATCTGTCGGTGAAGAATGACACGGCCTTTGATTCTGACTTTTGGCCGGGAGGCGGGCGCCTTTTTTTTTTTTGGACCGGTATGTGCCACATGTGGGGTGCAAGAGATAGCCTGGAAGCATTGAAACCTCATCACAAGTCTGATAAGGATAAGGATGTAATTAGCCTTGTTTTCTCGTCAAAAAAAAACCGCCGGCTGTTTCAAAATCACATCAAAAACATTGAAGCAGCCCCAGACTCGGCGGATCGCGTGGATCAATGGGGCCATCCTTGTGTTATTGGATCCCACAAGGAGTGTATCCTTGCTAGTGCGTGGTTTGTAAAAATCATGACTGGGGATATTCCTACAATGGTCATAACATGATCTGTCAAAAAACATAGGAACATAGTGGAACATAACGTAACATAACGTACATTCCAGTGATCTTAACCCCTTCTAGATTTTCGGTCGACTTCTTTTTTTCATCCCCGAAAAAAACACCAAACAAATCCCGGTTAGGGACATCCCGGTGGGGCCTGGGACCCTGGGATGGTCATGGGACCCTGGGATGGTCTGGGTCAGGAGTGGAACGTATCTTCCTGACCTTGTACTGCATCGAAGCCTTGATCCGAGTCACTGCGGGTGGTTGGTCAACCTTCAGGGATCTCTGGTTCCTGCTACTTGGAACGACCTGGGACCTGGGGTACCCTCTGGTTATGTCAAAATAGCTATTGAAAATGGCCATTTATAGTGGATTTTCCCATTAAAAATGGTGATTTTCGATAGTTATGTTAGTTTACCAGAGTGAAAAAAAACATGGGGAAAAATCGACATTCATAGCTCATGATGCTCATGAAATCTCATGAACATGTAGGATGTAGCAATGATTTATTTGAGAGCATACTGAAAAAAATCCAGTCTCCAAAGGCAAAGCAATGCATTTTCCTGAAGACATTCTTCCACTTATAACACTTGACTTGGTTCCAGAATCTTCCACCACCACCATTCAGAATGTTCAGCTCCGAGGTTGGACTTGGTTTTGATCCTGGTGGGCCTTTTAGCTTTGCTGGTCATTCCCATCTTGGCCGCTGAAACCGGGGTCTCCTTTGAGAAGCTCCTGGTGGTGCGCGGCCTACGGCTCTTCCGCCTCGTTCGAGCCTTGAGGTGGGAAACAAAAAAACCGGGGATGATGCCGGTGATGTTTAAGCTGTCATTTATATGATCCTTTATCTATGTGATAAATAATATATATATATATATTATATAAATGGTATGTGATTCTGCTTATGTACATATATAGAGATATGTATAGAAATAGAATATGGTACTGCAACTTGTGGTTTGTAACAACTGCTGGGAGCAGTTGGATGCCCCACATCTCCAATAGTACTCCTTTTTCGTCACCAGCTACACCGCAGACCTATGTCTGTTCAGGATGCTGAGTCACTTCAAGATCGTGTGGCGATTGGTGTATGGTTTGCTGACAGCAGGGCAAACTATCCTGTCAATGACCATGCTGATCGCGGTATCTCTGTTCATCTTCGCGTGTGTGGCAGTTGAGTGACGGGCTCAGACGACTGGGATTGAGGTGTTGATGAGTGGATGTATGGTGGTAGGCCCCCTTCACAACCACAGGGGAGTTTAGATGGTGATGCTTTCAATCGCACTGTTGACTCCCCAAATGGTATGATTCACTCAGTGTTTGACTGTTTGAGTGGCTTAGATACCAAGCCACAACATTTGCCACTCAGGCTCATAGCCAAGGATCCAGATCTACGCGACCATCATGATCCCAGCATTCAAGCTTTAGTTGAGACCAACTTTTTTGGCCTCAATCGAGCCTTGTTGACCCTGCTGCTGGCTGGTGGTTTAGAAAAGCCCTCTAGATACTCTAGATGTCAACCATCATTTTCCCTCGAAATGGCCATTTGAGGGTCCCCAATTTCAGACGAACCCATAGATTTTGGTTCGATTTTAGATTTGTTTATTTTCGTCCTGGGTCCTGATGATCTTCTTGGATAGCCATCGCAATTTTCCAATAATTCAAGGGCATAATCCCTGTAGATCTCAGATGTTTTGCCAAAAAATGAGAGAACAAACCAACAAAGCATCAGCGTAGGTTGCAATTCGTGACCTTGGACGACATCGCAGATGTCTACTTTCCCTTGGTGCTGGAGAAGCCATATCTTTGTGCATTTTTCTTCCCCATTCTGATCTTCATTTCCATAGGCCTCATGAATCTCGTCACCGCTGCCCTGGTCGAAAACGCCCCTGGGCTGAGCTGGCTTATCACTGCAGCTCAGAGCTGCAGTGATTTATACATTATATAGTTATATATATATATGTGTGTATATTATATGCATCTTTTTTGTAACTTCAATTTTTTAAAATGCAATTGCGATTGTATTCTTTTTGAGAACATTATGGAGCACGGTCAAATCTAGTTGACCAACAGTTGGTCACATTCCCAGCCGGCAACTTTGAGTTGCAAACATTTATGCACTGTATTGGCCGCCTTGATGCTTAAACAATCATAGAAAGTTTGTCGATTGAATGTGTCATGATTTGCTACAACCATGTCTGCAAACATGTTGTTATTTGTTTGTAAGCATTTGTTACTTCCAAGAACCAGTTTTTCAGTCAACGGTTGGAATGTGCGGCCGGTTTTCACCATCAATCCGTGAACAGTTTTGGTCAATTAGACAAGTAGAAAACTTTGGCAAATGAAACAGTTCATATTTCTAGTTATTGTGAATATAATTGGTTTCACCCGTGCAAAAGCATTTGTTTTACTTGGACTATGACAACCAGGTAAGATAATGATTTAAAACATACACAAACAATAATTCTGGATCATGGACACTGATTAAAACATCTGAAAACCTGGTTTTTCCCCACATTGACGTGTGGGGTTTTTGCTTTTAGTTCTGTATCCGCCGCCGCCGCCTCCTCCTCCTCGCCCGCCTGTCCTCCTCACTCGCCCGCCTGTCCTCCTCACTCACACACTCACTCACTCACCCAGTCACTCACTCACTCACTCACTCAACTCAACTCAACTCAACTCAACTCAACTCAACTCAACTCAACTCAACTCAACTCAACTCACTCACACTCTCACTCACTCTCTCACTCACTCACTCACTCACCCACTCACTCACTCACTCACCCACTCACTCACTCAACTCAACTCAACTCAACTCAACTCAAAACAACTCAACTCAACTCAACTCAACTCAACTCAACTCAACTCAACTCAACTCAACTCAACTCAACTCAACTCACTCACTCAACTCAACTCACTCAACTCACTCAACTCACTCAACTCACTCACTCAACTCACTCACTCACACACTCACTCAACTCACTCACTCAACTCACTGACTCAACTCACTCACTCAACTCACTCACTCAATCACTCACACGCCACACTCACATCACTCACTCACACTCTCACTCACTCACTGTACATGAACATACATACATACACACAAACTCACCCACCATCACCGCTCCATCGCTCTTATACTTCCTCTTCCCTTCTTACTCTTCTATGCTCAGTCTAGGTCTAAAGAAGTTGGTAACATGTGGGGTTATCCGGTCCTTTAATTCAACATCGTTTTGACCATGTCCCACTTCGGTCCATCCTGGTCAGACTTGGCCCAGGCCATGCAGACGGCGGCGATCGAAGCAGAGGAGGAGAAACAAAAGTTGAAGAAAAAAGTCAAAGGAGCCCAGAACTCAGCGATTTTTCCGGATTTTGCAGTTTTTTTTTTGTGGATATTATGTGGATATCATAGGTGGATATAGCTGAATATCATGATTGTAGTCTGAAAAGGAACTTTATGGGATTTTAAAAGTGCGTAAAAACCAACTTTATGGGCGTATAGTTGCTACATGTGGAAAAAAATCGTACCATCTGGTTATCTTTAAGAGGTGAATCATCATATCATCGAACTAGCCATGGGCCATGGTTTCTAGTTCGCAAATTGTTAGATAACCAGAGGGTAAACCATTATAAAACCTAATGATGTGTTAGATACCCTAGTTTAATGATGTTTTACCCATGTAAATTGTTAGTTACCCTAGTTTGTTAGATAACCAGAGGATAAAAAACATGATGTGTTTGTGTGTTTTAATTTGAATTAGACCATTATAAACCATCCATTTTTTGCAAATACTTGTTCAGGCCAGTCATTTTGATCATTCCCTTTTTTCAAGCCCTTTGAGGAAAACACAGCCAACATTTCTTGGACATCATTGAAGATATGATGATTGGTCATGAATGGTTGGGCCCTAGATGGCTAACTGGTATTAACTAGTAGCATGTTCGGGATGAGATGAAAACACCAGCCTGTCATCAATTGTTGCCTCAGGGTTCGGCCGTGTAGCTGCCACAACTTAGCATGGCATCAGATGCACTGGATACATTGCTGAAATGATAAAACACGATAAAACCATGGTTTCTCATGGTGCTCTTCATTTGTTTCACTTTATTCCCACATGTTCCGGTTCATTTATGAGCAGTAGTAGCGTAGGCTATTTGATTTTCATATATGTTCATCACAAAATATCATGATATCTATTCTATACCCTCTGGTAAACTAACATAACTATGGAAAATCACCATTTTTCATGGGAAAACTCACTATAAATGGTGTTGATTTTCCAGTTCGTTATGTCAGAAATTACCTCAAAAAGGGCACAGACATGATGGTCCTTTTGCCAACTAAGGCCTTGCCATCTTTGATCGAAATCTTCCACCAACTTGATGCTGACAAGTCTGGACAGATCACCCATGATGAGGTCGGGGACAGATCAGTTGACCCGGCCTGGTAAACAGCCACATACCGAAGTGGGAAAATCCACCATTTTCTAATAGGTAAATCAACTATTTCAATGGCAATTTTCAATAGCTATTGTAACAAATTACCAGAGGGTCGGGGATGAACACTGTTTGAACAGCCGCATCCTTTGGGAATTTAACTAATAGAAAACCAGAACATCACCATGTTTGGTAAATCATCGAAAATGGACCAAGGGACCATTTTCAACAACTGAGAAATTGCCAGAGGGAATAGCTATTGGCTATTTTGGTAGCTATCTTCACATATCTTCACCACAAAGTACCAAGATTTAGCCCAAGGTTTTGATCTGGCCAGGTTGAGAATGTGCCGGTCTCAATTTTGCCGCCACGAGTTTTAGATTCCCTGTGCGTGGAAAACATCACGGATATCTTCGACTATCTGGATGTGGATGGAACTGGGGAACTGTCGCAGATGGAATTTGTGGAGGGATTGCTGAATCTGTGCCTATTAGACGCCTGACCTTATCTGGTTGGTAGTTTCAAATCTGTTGTTGTTGTTGTTGTTGTTGTTGTTGTTGTTGCTGCAAAAACACCGACCTGGGCACCTGGGATGATTTTCCCCACTATTCACATGAAATAAACGATTTTTGTCGGTTTGAAGATGTTTGAAACAAGCAACCAATTAATATTAGCATATGTGTCAGTCCTGGGTGGTCTCAATTTTTTCCCCACGCTCTACTTGGCTGCCCCACGGGCGCTTTGGGTATCAGTTGCCAGGAAAATTTCATGAATTGACGGAATCAGATTTGGAGGTTCAACGTGGTTCAAAAGGACAACTGGCAGGAATCTTCAGAAATCCATGACTGATACTGGTAATGTGGTATACACATTATAAACCATGGTAAACCCGACGACCATCCCCAATAGAGATTCATTGGATATACATAGACCCGCCGGGGGATGATAAATGAACCCCAGGAATTTGGTGAATGGGATTGTTTTTTTCCACATTGGCGTTAGAAACCATCACTTTGAAATATTTGGGTCCATTTATGACAATCAATGACGGGTCCGTGACAACGTCTTTAGACATGTTAAGGCTTTGTTTTACCTGAGGTTTTTTCATATTTTTTTTCCCTTCGTTCAACTTCGTTCTGGGAAGAGTTTTTTTATTCTGGGCGTCAGGACATGCCCATCTCCACCATCCAGACCTTGAAGCTCCTGCAGTTGCTGCGCGGCGGGATGGTGAAAACCGACGAAAAGGTGAATCTCATCGGCTCTCAGGTGCCGAAAACCTTGTTGTAGCATGCTGGGAAGCCGGGAAGCCTTAAAATTGATTAAAAGCACTGAGCAAAAAGAGGATTTCACAAAAACATAGCTTAATGGCAAAGCCTCAATCATCAATAATCGTGAACATGATATCAATTATATCTCATCATATTATCATATTTTGGTAGTGAAAACTGATGTCAACATATTGTTTTTTTGAATTTTTTAATATGGGTGATTCCCAAAACCATGGGGTTCAATACTAAAATGATCTCAATGTATATATATATATATATATTATAAGTACAACATATTATAATTCTGGAATATTCTGGATGATTTTGGTGATCCCCAGGCAATCCAGGAAACATCCCTATGAAACATCAACCCATCACCTTGATTTTCGACACCTGGTGCAGGTCCAGGAGCTTCATGAAGCAGTTTGTGGAAGTATCATCCGAAACTATCGAGTTTGAGTCGGGGAGATCCATTGATTTTGCTGCCCAAAAACAAACGGGGCTCTGGTATGGCCGAGCGGCCGAGGTTAGATGGATGTAGATATAGTGTTTCACTGGTCAAAATGCGGCACGCAACCCATGTGCTTTTCCGATGTTTTTTTTTTTTCCGGACGTCACTTGTTCCACGGTTGTGAAACAACTGGAGGAAGTCGAAGGACATGTTGTTGGTGGGTTTTCTCGCGGTCCTGGAACCACCAACTAATCCGCTGGAATACCTGCAATGTCTGATGCGAAGCATCAGTGGTCGTTTTAGAGCATAACAATCATCACATCCGGATACATCCGGCAACTGGGCCACTGGGTGAAAAGGAAATTGTGCATGTAGAACGTGTGCCGTGTTTGGAGATGTTCCTTGTTTCAACATGTTACCTCGTGCGTGTCCATGATTTCGAGATTTCACCTGATGCGTAGAACCGATGGAACATGTTCTGATATTGGAACATCAGATGGCGTGAATGGAATCCCCAGATGTTTTTTAGAGATGAATTGACTTGTCAGTCTGTTTGAGCGTCATATGAAGAGAGTTTTTTTTCTGGTGTTGGGTTTGGAGATGCTTCAAACCCACATATCGCATCGTTTTAGCCTCAGAAGTCGTAGGGGACAGCCCAAATTGAGAGTTGTATTTTGTATATAGTATATCGTTTCTTTCGAACAGATGCAGGCGTCAAACGTAGCAAAATCATTATTTGGCAACGACAGGTTCAGATGTTAATCATTGTCAATTGCATCAAGGTCAAATTCAAGTTCAGTCACCCGTGGTCAAGTTCATTCCGATTGGTTTCACGCAGTAAATCTTGGGCCAGCATCCCGAACTTTTCAGGCTGGCTATGGCTGGCTAGTTGCTGCGCCCTACCCTCAAGCCCACCTGCACCATCAAACCTCTACTTCTTAATCCACTACCAGGGGTATAATTTAAGAATACCTGGTATCCTGAACATAGACAGCAACTCCTACCCAGAGAAGTTCCCAAATGCCAAGATACGATGCCAAGAGAATGGTTCATAAAACCAAATGTTGCAAACACCCGGCAAATGAACGGTTCTTGCTACATTTTGCCACAAGATAGCGTCAACACGTGCACATGTGAGGCTCCAAAATGCCATTGCAATTATGCACGCGAGAGGTTCCAGCACCAACATGTTGCAGATCCACTGGAAACACATGAAACCTTTATTTTCAGGATTTTTCAGGTGTCTCATGTTTTTTTTTCCTAGAGTCTTTGTATATTTTGTATGATATGAATTTCAAGTTTATTTTCCAGGACATCAAGAAGTTAGACTGATTTTACAACGTGTTTGCCCTGAGAACTAGTCAAGAGAACGAATCAAAAACTCTGGGGAAAAGGCCCCTGCAGAGCCTCAAGCTATTTCCGCCGTACCCCAGTTTAGGAAACCTCCATATGAGGGTTTGCATAAACTGCCACAAATAGCACGTCTCCTCCCCATCATACTTCATCATACCTTCTCATGTTTCACCATACCTGCCGCAAACCGTACGTCTCCTCCTCATCATACTTCACGATGCCTTGCCATGTCTCACCAACCATTTTTGGGTACCCCTATTTATGGAAACCTCCATATGGATTCCATATGGGTACCATGATGGGACATGGAACACGAAGGTAGAACTCATTCAACCCGTCTGTGTGGCTGCTATTCTTTCCTCATCCCTTGATAATTTGCATCGGGACGTCTATTTCTGAACCTGATACGGTGATGATACTTGCACATATTTAGATTAATATACTTATATATATATGTATATATATATATTAGCATTAGTGATAAGAAGAAACAATAATAGATGGTTTCTAGTATATATATAATCATAATAATATATAATAAGAATAAGAATAATAATGATAATAAAAACTTGCATACACTGAGGCATCTAAGCTGCATATACCCAGTATTGCGCTACTCGGAAAGTCTTTGATGATCCTTTCGAGTCTGGTGATTCGATGAGACAACACTTCCGCGCGACCATGAAATTCTGTTTCGTGCAACAAGATGTTTTCCCACAGTGCGCCAACTTTATACACATATATACATATATAATTATATACAGGTATAACATCATATAACATAATATAACATTATATATCGTTATATATATAACATTATATATATATAACATTATATATATATTTACACCATTATATATATAACATTATATATATTGTATGTATGTAACATCATAAAACATCATAAAACATCATATGACATCATATGACATCATATGTAACCTAAGATAACCCAAGTTTGTTGGCGGCTTTCAAGGGCACTAATTAGGGGGCACCCAAATCCCACCGGTGTTATGAAGAGCAAATCCTCCGGACCCATCAAGTCATCAAGTCACAACATGTAACCATTGCGTCGCCAGTTGTGGCCAGGTTTTCGTGGCGCTGAGTGGAACGAGCTGTAAAGAAAGGTGCCTTGCCACCTGCAGATGCCATGAACAGCGAGCTGTTCATGGCAGCAAGAAACAACTAATAGTTGAGTGCTTTGCTGTTGTGACGTGGAATGGAAGACATTCAGATGCTTCCAGCATCCTTTTTGTTGACTGTTTCCGGCTCCAGGACACTGAATTGCTTATGTTAGCTTTTGCACAGTCCTTAAAGTCCTTATCCTCAACCCCTTCGAAGACTCCGCCAGAAATAGACACTTCCGAGCTTAAAAGCACAACAGGAAAAGCACATCCAAAAAAAACATCTCTTAAGATATCTCTATATATCTGAGGCCTCAGGGATTAAACATGTGATATCTCAGGTGATCTCAGGTAGGCAAAACATCCAACATCCATCATCCATCAACCAACTGCTAGAAGGCTGGCGCCGCGAGCCATGCTGTCCAGTGTGTCGAGCTTGTTGGGTAATGGCACCGCCAATAGCAATTTGTATGTGGCGGGCTTGCCACCAAGCACCAGTGAAGAAATGATGAGACAACTCTTCAAGGAGTTCGGGGATGCGACTTGGCGATAAAGATCTAGATATTTATATATATATATATATATCTGGGTAAATTATAACGACCTCACTGTTCTCCGAACCCTGGAATCATGGTTTTTTATAGGGAAATCATCCCCAAATGGGCTTAATTCAGGTTGGTGAAATATTATAATTTACCCAGATATATAGATACCCTCTGGTGAACTGCCAGTTTGCCATGGAAAATCACAGAGAGAGAGAGAGAGGATGATTGAGAGAGGTAAATCATCTATCTAAAGGGTAAATTATGTAAATTTGATCACGACCTATAACTGCATAATAACAACAAACTATCCCAAAACTTCCAAAAAAATCAGGTTTGTAAATGAGTCGAAAAAATGTCCAGAGACTCCAGGGGGTTGATCCAAAGATGATCAGCGCAGCTTTCGAAGGGTTTGTCCTTCGATGTGAAGCGAGGAGCGATGCCATGCCGTTTTTAAAACAGTCTGGAATGATTACCCATAGGATCCATGGTGCTGGTATATATGCTAACATGACTGGGGTATATTGATGGGATCCATGTTACCATATATGGCATACATAGATCCTATGGGTTAGAATGTGACAATGGACATGTTCCGCTTTGACTGTATCGAATTCTTAAGTATGACTCTATGATCTCTGAGTTTCCAGGCCCGAAAAACTATCAGTATTCAAGAGCAAGTCAAGCCACATGAATCCCAAATACCAACATCTACTGTTTTCCAAAGTCCATGATTTGGGGACTGATCATGTGATAATGGCAAGACCCATTCCCATCCATTCCATCATTTCCCATCATTTCCCATCTCAGGTGGCTTCTGTGCGAACCTTTTATGGCAAGACGCCTACGTCGCCGAGTTATGGTTTCGTGAAATTCCACAGGGATTCTCAGGAGCTCAGTTTTGAAAGGGTGAAGATGTTGGAGAATGGCCCTGGGGGGTCTCCAGGTTTGTGAATTTCTCGCTTTTCCCAGCAATGTGGGGCCCCCCAGTTATAAGTTGGTTTATAAATCCCATTAACTATAGTTATAAGTATCATAAACCATAGTTGTTGGAGTTATAAACCAACTTAGCTATCTAGGGAGCCCCACATTGCAGCAATTTCTGAATTTGAAACTCTGGAAACATCAATCCCAAAGCGAAAATCAAGGAGATTCTGATGGTTTTAACCTGTTTTAAAGGTTCCATTCTGATGTATTCAACGACTATGACCCCCAGTGGTAGGTTGGGTTATGGATACCGTCCAGAAAAGGAACACAGCTATGGAAAATTACCATTTTTAGGTCGCAGATCCGCAGATCATCTCAAAATGGGCCATCTAAACTATAGCAAACTGTGAGTTTACCGGAGTACCCTCTGGTAATTTAACATAGCTATTGAAAATGGTGCTTTATAGTGGATTTACCCATTGAAAACGGTGATTTTCCATAGTTATGTTAGTATACCAGAGGGTACCTAGAAATAAGATCCGTTAAGCATCCCATTCACCATTCCGAAGAAAGGAAGAAGTGGGTTTATGGATCACATCTTACCATAACTGGTTGGTGGTTTGGAACATGTGTTATTTTTCCATATATTGGGAATGTCATCATCCCAACTGACGAACTCATATTTTTCAGAGGGGGAGGCATACCACCAACCAGATATGCAATAATACATGGGATAATCCTTCCCATTGACTTTCATATTTTTCAAGATGGTTAAAACCACCAACCAGCATTAATTAGTTCGTATACTATAAACCATATAGTATATATAGTCTATTAGTTATGTTCATATATATTGGAGTTATTGGAATACCCATATGCTCCATGTATGGAATATGTACCAACACTTACACCATAAATCACCCAGTTTTGTAGGTTAATATACTATATATATCACCATATTACCCTCTGGTAAACGTTTACATAACTATGGAAAATCACCATGCTATTTATGGGTAAATCAACTATAAATAGCAATTTTCAATAGCAAACTGTTGGTTTACCAGAGGGTACATCCACTTCCCCTAAAAATGGGATTGACCCCATAATATAATTAACCATATTCTATTATTGGAATATATCACCATATTAAAATCTCTGAAATTCCCGAGTCTTATTGGCGTTTCTGCGAGGCTCTTGCGGCGCTCCAGGGGATGAATGGTCGGGAGTTGAACGGTCATGTGATGACGGTTCGATTGGCCAACAACGACACCACTGGGCCTGGGCCTAGGCACCTAGGCACAACGGTTGTGTAGGTGATGGTCATCAAATTTTGCTATGGGTTTTCTATGGCTTTTCTATGGGTTTTCCATGGGTTACTATGGATTTCTCTAGGTTTTCTATGGATTTCTATGCGGGATTCAGGCAATTTGAGGCCCAATTGATGGCAATTTTAATAGCCATTTGACTGATTTCAACCCAAGTGACGGCTATTTGAAAATGGAGGATGTCGGAACCTTGGGGACGGCTGTGGATTTCGCTGATTTGAGGCCAATTTAAGGCAACTGTATAATTCCTATGGGTGAACATTATTACATATTATTACAATCCATTGGATATTTTACATACCCAAGAGGTTGATATGTTTGGCGGCAGCAGAGAAATTCTTAATTACTGTAAAAGTCGTAGCCATAGATCATCAATCAGTTATGGTATCAGCGCAAGTCATCTGATCTCAGCTGATCTCAGCTACAGGAATGCTCCACCGCCCATAGCACCTGCGGTTGGAGGAACCAATCTCTACGTCAGCGGGTTACCTCCAGCTACTTGGCGCCGGGAAACTGGAAGCATCATGGATATTTCATGGATTTAAAGTATGCAAGTATTGCAGACACACACACAATATACATTATATACATACATATATCTATAGACATTTTTATTTACACACACACATATATATATATATCTATGCATATGGATTTATATTTTTGCAGGTGGTAAAATTTCTAGACCAACACGTCTAAAATGATTTCGCGTTTATGTCGCTGAGCTTGGCACATTGGACCTGGCAGCTTCTCGAAGCGTCGCGGGTGTCTGAGGATATGGATGAGGCCAGGATGAAAGAGATGTTTCAGAAGTTTGGCAACGTGGTCTCCGTGAAACTCGCTCGGGAGGCGAAGGGTGAACAACAAATATCATTTTAATGATCGTCCAATATCGTCCAGGGTGCATTTTGGAAAAAACATGTGACTCTGTATTTCATGGCTATCTTGGGATAACTCTCATTCTAAGACTCCGTGACATTCCAATCATCAAAGATTCCCATAGATTCCCATAGATTCTGCCCACTTTCAACATGACGAAGCCGTGAACCAGGCGCGGATCTACAAACAGTACGGATTCGTCCACTACACCGTGCCAGAGGAGGCGGAAGCTGCGATCAATGGGATGAACAACAGGATCATTGTTCCTTGGAAATCGGAAAGCCAGGGTTGTTTGGTATGCTGTTTGTGAATTGGAACATACCGGTAAACTAACATAGCTATTGAAAATGGCCATTTATAGTGGATTTTCCCATTAATAATATTTAAAAATGGTGATTTTCCATAGTTATGTTAAATTACCAGAGGGTACCGGCAAACTAACATATCTGACATAGCTTTCTGGAAATCATCATTCCCCACCTGCCAGGTGAGGGTTGTTAGATTTTATCTAAGTTGCCTTCTCCTCCTCCTGCCTGCCTCCTCTCCTCCTCTCCTCCTCCTCTCGTCGTCCTCCTCCTCTCGTTGTCCTCCTCCTCTCGTTGTCCTCCTCGTCTCGTTGTCCTCCTCGTCCTCCTGCTCAACTGCGACTCGCGATCCACAGTGTTCGCTGCCGGACCTCAACCACGACCATCCCCGCCCAGTGTTCCCTGCCGGACCTCAACCACGACCATCCACGCCCAGTGTTCCCTGCCGGACCTCAACCACGACCATCCACGCCCAGTGTTCCCTGCCGGACCTCAACCACGACCATCCACGCCCAGTGTTCCCTGCCGGACCTCAACCGCGAGTATCCACGCCAAGTGTTCCCTGCCGGACCTCATGTAGGAAGATATGGGACAAAGAATGTGCAGAAGAAAGTTAGAAAGAATGTCAGAAAGAATGTCAGAAGATATGCCAGAAGATATGCCAGAAGATATGCCAGATAGAATGCCAGAAGATATGCCAGAAGAATGCCAGATAGAATGCCAGAAGATTTGCCAGATGCCAGATATGCCAGATAAATATGCCAGAAGATATGCCAGAAGATATGCCAGAAGATATGTCAGAATATATGCCAGAAGATATGTCAGATAGAATGCCAGAAGATATGTCAGAATATATGCCAGAAGATATGTCAGATAGAATGCCAGAAGATATGTCAGAATATATGCCAGAAGATATGCCAGATAGAATGGCAGAAGATATGTCAGATAGAGTGCCAGAAGATATGCCAGATAGAATGCCAGAAGATTTGCCAGATAGAATGCCAGAAGATATGCCAGAAGATATGCAAAATCATATGCCAGAAGATATGCCAGATAGAATGCCAAATAGAATGTCAGAAGATATGTCAGATAGAATGCCAGAAGATTTGCCAGTAAGAAAATGTATAAATGTCATGGTGGGGATCACACGAAGTAAAGTAATTTTTTTTGACAGGTAATTTTTTTAAATCCTCAAAAAATGTGGGCCATGTTCCAGGAATGTTCCAGAGCTTCCCTTGCCGTGTTTTGGTACCGTTTATGGAAACAACTCTATAAACGGGAGATGTTCATGGATAGTCGTTGTGTCCAGGCTTGGATGAATCGGGATTGATCAGCGATTCTGTTAGATCACCATAGATCTGTGGTGATTTCGAATCACAACAGATATCAAAATATAGCGATATATCATGATATACTAGTATCATGATATATCATGATATATCCCATGTTGGCCATATTTGGCCATAAAAATGGCACTTCCTTGGGGGTTCTAACTTTTGGTTTGGCTTCTGCCCGGGCCATAAAAGCTCCTTTTTTAGTCTCGGTTTGAACGTCTCAGGACCGAGACTATCAGCTCACCGTGAAATACGCCAACAGCTCCGAGAAAGCCCAGATAGCACAGACATGGCAGAGAGATGCCCGGCGCATTCCCGGCGCTGCAGTCTGAACGAAAATCTGGTTACTGCTAAAAATGGCAGTGGTTTCAATGGCATATTTTCTGAATGGCTTAATGATGGTTAATCATGGTTAATCATGTTAATGGTTAATAATGGTTGAGAATGGTTAATAATGGGAGAATATGATACTGGTATACCACCAACCAGTCTTGGTATGTACAGCAATGCGTCAACTTTCAGGGCAAGTTCGGCTTATTTTTCAACACACATATCATCACAGGGTAAGAAAAAAGCACTTGCACTTGCACTTGCCGGGTGTCACTGGCAACTTCGCCAAATCATATCACCTTTCGACAAGACATCAACAGATTGGAACATCATGATTCTCACGGAATGCCCATCTATTTCACATACTTTAATTCTATGATAGGTCTATGCCTATGCATTCCATAGACCTTCCAGATCAATCCGGGAATCCAACAAACATCTTCCCGGCCACCAAGGAAGGAGCTGCTCCCATGGGAGCCGCCATGGCACCCAGCATGGCGCCGGGCATGGGATCGGCTGGTGGCTGGCCACAGGAGGAGATGCCACAGCCAACTGCAGTGCATATCAGTGGATTGCCTACAGGTGCAGCTGAACATTGGCTGTCACACTTGACACTTCCATGATAAGATTATGATGGGAAAAATTGGATGATCATGGGAATATCACACTCCACACACTACACTTTAATACTTTAGACATCACACTTTACACTCCACACTCTACACTTCACACTTCTCACTTTACACGCTACACTCTACACTTTACACTCGACACTTCACACTCCACAATGCCCACTTCATGCCCTGCACACTACATTCCCCACTTAACACTCCACTGGCTTCACATTGCACACTCTGCACTCCACCCCATTCTACACTCCACAGTCTACACTGGTAGGGTAACAGGGGAAGAATGTACAAGACTATTGAAATAATTAATTGGTTTCACAAAAGTGTTTCACGTGACTGCATTTGGGTTCGTGGGCTGTATCTTGGTTTTCAGATGTTCCATTTTTCTTTTGGATGATCAAGACGACATGATAAGACAGACTGACTCCTTTTTGAAGCGTACTATATACATCTACAGAACTGCGACTTCGAGTTTCATCTATTCGTCAACATTTTCGTTACCCTCTGGTAAACGTTTACATAACTATGGAAAATCATGGAAAATCACCATGTTTAATGGGTAAATCAACTATAAATGACTATAAAATTACCAGAGGGTACGTGTTTTCCCGTGGCTCTGTGGCAGCAACGTCAGTTTTTCGCAGCACACCTGGACCACAGGCACGTCAGTTGAGCAGCTGCAGTCTTTCTTCGCTGGCTATGGGCAGGCGCCCATGGAAAAAGGGTGGTTTACCCTACCTCCAAGGAACATGGGCCCTGGCAGATAGGGGCGTTGGAAGACTGTTTTCGTCTCAAATTGCGAATTCTGGGAGTATAGTGATGAAGTTCGCTGATGGCAAAATATACTGCATCATTGTGCTGCACATGCAAAAACAATGTGTTTGCGGTGCGTTAGCCCCCTGTTTTGTTCATGACTTGTGGCCGATAGATTCGGAGCTGCCATTAAGACCTCTAGCACCAACTTTGGATTGCACCAGTTGCTGTATTTGTTTCATTCTATTAACTTATACACCTTATACGCAGTATAATTATATATATATATACAAGTACATGATTATATATGTTTATGAGGGGGGAGAGAGAGAGAGAGATATATATATATACATCAGTCTATTCAAGCATATAAATAAGCTGTGTAATGCATATACATATGTTCCAGGATGGATTTGCGGGTGACTTTCACTGTGGTCATAGGATTGTTTTTTCCATATGCTTCTCTTGATTGGTGTAACCTTCCCCGATGCAGACGCCAGTCCTAACTCAAACCACATTCGTTTGAAGATTTTTGTTGGTGGATTTTTGGGAACATGTGCATGAAACCCGGTTGGTTTGGGGTTAAAACCATGCCTTCCTCACGGTTCCAAATTTTCCCATGGCTCCAACCATGCTACCATTTTCCAGGGTAAATACGGGAAACATCAGTATGCACCATTTTCCCCTGCTTACCCTCTGGTAAACTAACATAGCTATCGAAAATCACCATTTTTGATGGGTAAATCCACTATAAATGGCCATTTTCAATAGCTATGTTAGTTTACCAGAGGGTACAACCCACTTCAGCCGATCCATCATCTGGCAGGTCCAAGCCAAGCTGCTGGACGATGGCAGCCAAGGCAGTCCTCCCTCAGCCCTGCTGCGGCTGCTGCCATCCGAGGCGGAACGCTTGGTTGCGGACTTCGATGGCCAGGTGCTGCAAGGCCTGACTTCCAAAAAATACATGGCAGGATCGTCAGGATAGACGGGTGGCTCTATAATATATATATATATACCATACATATGGAAAGGAAAGGAAAGTAATGGAATGGAACGGAACGGAGTGGAATAGAATGGAAAGGAATGGAATGGACTGGAATGGAAAGGAAAGTAATGGAACGGAACGGAATGAAATGGAATGGAAAGGAAAGTAATGGAACGGAACGGAATGGAATGGAAAGGAAAGTAATGGAATGGAACGGAACGGAATGAAATGGAATGGAAAGGAAAGTAATGAAATGTACTAGAATGGAAAGGAAAGGAAAGTAATGGAACGGAACGGAATGAAATGAAATGGAAAGAAAAGTAATGGAATGTACTGGAATGGAAAGGAAAGTAATGGAATGGAACGGAACGGAATGAAATGGAATGGAAAGGAAAGTAATGGAATGGAACGGAACGGAATGAAATGGAACGGATAGGAAAGTAAGGGAATGTACTGCAATGGAAAGGAAAGTAATGGAATGGAACGGAACGGAATGAAATGGAATGGAAAGGAAAGTAATGGAATGCACTGGAATGGAAAGGAAAGTAATTGAATATACTGGAACGGAACGGAATGAAATGGAATGGAACGGAAAGTAATGGAATGTACTGGAATGGAAAGGAAAGTAATGGAATGGAACGGAATGAAATGGAAAGGAAAGTAATGGAATGGAACGGAACGGAATGGAATAGAATGGAAAGGAAAGGAATGGAAAGCAATGGAATGGAACGAAGTGGAATGGAATGTAATGGAACGGAACGGAATGGGATAGAATGGAAAGGAATGGAATGGACTGTAATGGAAAGGAAAGGAAAGTAATGGAATGGAACTGAACGGAATGACTTGGAATGGAAAGGAAAGTAACGGAATGTACTGGAATGGAAAGGTAAGGAATGAAATGGAATGGAAAGGAAAGTAATGAAATGTACTAGAATGGAAAGGAAAGGAAAGTAATGGAACGGAACGGAATGGAATGGATAGGAAAGTAATGGAATGTACTGCAATGGAAAGGAAAGTAATGGAATGGAAAGGAAAGAAAAGTAATGGAATGGAACGGAATGGAATAGAATGGAAAGGAACGGAATGGACTGTAATGGAAAGGAAAGTAATGGAATGGAACGGAACCGAATGAAATAGAATGGAAAGGAAAGTAATGGAATGGAACGGAACGGAACGGAATGGAATAGAATAGAATGGAAAGGAATGGAATAGAATAGAATGGAAAGGAATGGAATGGACTGTAATGGAATGGAAAAGAAAGTAATGGAATGGAACGGAACAGAATGGAATGGAATGGAACGGAATGGCATGTATGTGTCTATATCTATATCAATATATGTAATGCAATGCAATGCAATTCAATGCAATTCAATGCAATGTAATGTATGTATGTATGTATGTATGTATGTATGTATGTATGTATTCGTGCATGTAAATATATATATATATATGCACATGACATGTGTGTGTGTGTTTATGTGTTTGTCTATTCATATCTTGTTTGTTAGTTCAGTCATAGCAGAACTAAAGTAACACATCATAGTTGTAAAATATTTCAACATACTTGAATCCATGATCATCGTGATGAAAGATCATACCCTCTCGATCATCTGACGTCGCAATGCAAATCACCACCGTTTTTGAAAAGGGAATTCATCCCAATGGAAATTCCAGGATCCTATAAAATGGAGGTACTGTACCATATAAGGCCATATTTTGTGGGGATATTCCCTGAAATTTAGGCCTTATATATAGGCCTTCTATATGGTAGGTACCTCCAATTTATGGCCTGAAATGGCCGTTGATCATCTTCTCATCATTTATGGGTAAAGACTTTTGGAACCCATGTTCGACTGCCCGAGGGCAACATCGAAAAAAAAAAACTAGTTGATTAACTGTGGTTCTTCCCCCAAATAGTAATAAATGATAATAAATGATAATACATGGCTACTGAAATGGTACCCCCTCCAACTAAACAGTATAGGGTTTCTTAATCTAGGGTTGACATTATTCCTTGATCCCTGTGTTTTTCGAAATGACGATGGTCTTTAAGAGCAGCAGGGGCACCAGTAGCAGCTTGCCCCCAGAGGCTTAGAGAGGCCGCTGTCCGTGCGCATCGTTCCCATGGAGCAGCGAATGGAGAGAGAGACGTTTTCAAATCGCTTTGAGCCATATGGCAAGGCTGGGCGGGGCATCATGGGGCATCGGCATCCGTGATTGACAATCACAAGCGTAGTTGATATAGGATAATAGTTATAGAATAGACCTTATATCATAGCAAGAAGAATGATCATGGATGTTTTAGAATTAAGTATAGTTTTTTTTTAAATGACATTTTCATTATGATAGTAATTCACATGATTTCACGATTTTTTTCGATGGAAAACCCGATTTTCCAGGCCCCGGAGGGCCAGGGCGGCCCTGTGTCGCCCGTGGCGCCGGTCTCCACCGCCACGTTGATGGCCACGCTGCCGGAGGCCTCTGAGGGCGCCTGGCCAGCGCCGCCCAAAGCAACGGGGCCACCAGGGCCCAGCCCGGCCAGTGACGTGGCGGTCGGGATGGTTTTTTTGCTGCGTGGATCAAGGATCTCCAAGAAAAACCTCAAAGATCTCTATATTTTTTGACTTTGAGTGGATTTTGTTAAAAATTGGTTAAATAGTGGTTTTGATGTTTTTTTTGGTTTAAGGTCATGAAGTTTTTGCAATTGGCGAAACAAACATGGTGATTTGACAAGCAAAATCGTGGTTAAACCAGCAAACGTTGGCACAGTATGGGGATATTTAACCATTAATGTGGTGGATGGCTGGTTGTGGGGATATGTATTTCCCAAAAATGTGACGGTCAAATGATTTAAACCAACCATTTTCTCAAGTGGTTGCTAGTTTGATGTAATGGTGTACTATGACATTTTTCTGGAGAAATACTTGCACTTGTTATATTTTTACTGTCTTGCCAATAATTTTATTCGTCACTCGATTCACCTTGAGGTTCCGAGTTCATGGTCGCAATGAGCGAGACGGTGCCTTGACTGAGACATGTCAGTGTGCTGGGTGTCTGAAAATACTGGGATTTAATATATGTTTTAATCTGATTTTTAGTGATTTTTAATATGAAATTTAATATGGGTTTGAGCCCACACTATGGCAGTTTTGAAGGTGATGATTCACCAACAGACTTGGGAGACCCATGGGTGAGAGATCCAGTTTCCACTGGTTTATATGCAGGCACATGTTGGCAAGAAGATCTTTGATAAAAAATGCACATTCCTTTTTGTCACTGAATATTTTCAGTGGATTGGATTGTGACATGCATTTGGTATTGGGGGATACCAAGGTAAACCTCTCAGATCTTTTGCTGCATTTTTGTTGCCACGACTTGCACGTCACTAAGGTGTCTCGTGTGAAGGGCTTCAGACCGGTGCTGCCCCACAACATGGACCCAACGAATTTGTACATCAAGGGGCTTCCATCCAACGCTGACGAGTTGCTTGCTATACACATTTCCAGACTGCTCGGCTCACAGTTCCAGGTTGTTCCGTTCCAGAATCTGGAGCACCATTCTTTGGTCCGACAAAATGTCTGACCTATCAATCATAGATGATCTAAGAGATGATCTAACAGATCCAACAAATGCTCTATGATCTCTATGACCTAGGAGGCATTCATAGACTATGTCATATTATGTCATCATTCAAGTTGATTGATTTGATCTGAGGCTCTATCTCTACTCCATCTTCTCTCCCTTTGGTCCCATTCAATCCGTTCGCCTGCTGAAAGACGGCGTCAGCGGCAGCTGCACCGGCGCGGCGCTGCTGAAGTTCGGCGTCACCGAGGACGCTGAGCTGGCGATCCGCACCCTGTCCGGCAACAAGCTGCCGGACGGCGTGGTGCTGGACGTCACGGTGAAGACAGTGAGATCGTAAGGAGTTCGAGCGGAGCGGAGTTAGCGGCGAGGTGAGAAAAAAAAGGAGCACTGTTGCCAACTTCAGTTTTGCACATTGCCACTTTTTACACCTAGGCAGCAAGAGCAAACAGCGGCACTTGATTGTGGACACTTGTTTTTTCTGTGAGTTGGAAGTCTTGGTGTTCCAGCAAGGTTTGGACTTGATCACATCAAAAAGATGCAGGCACCTCAGAGATCGGGTGAAATGGTAAGGGCTTTGTCTCACAGGTCTTCGATCCAGACTTCGATGGTGGATCTCCATTTTTCCCCATTAACAATCATTAACATATGCCATGTCGATGTGGGATTCTTTGGGCTATACAAAACATACAAAACGGGATCTTGTTTTGGGATGAGGCCTTCTCATGTCATTTCTTGTCACTGTCCATGTCAACTTCCATCCCTGGGATCCGATATGTTCAAGGCTAAAGATCAACCGCCAGTCGTATAGGCCGTTAGACCTTCAAGTATTATCTACTTTCCCAAACGTCGCAATCATATTTTGAATGGATATTTGAACACTTGTGCTCAAGCATGTTCAAACATATATATATATATATCTAATATGTTTATAATATTATATATATAAGCTAAAAATTATATCTTTCTCTGAGCCAAGACGGCATGGTTGTGAACTAACCCGCCGGCAGCATCCTGAGTCCAGCGCAGTTTTTTCTCGCTTGGATGTTGATTTATCAAGTTCAAGATATATTACAATTATCACCCTGTACACCCCTATAGATACTAACTTCATCCAGCTTCATTATCATTGTTGATCTCATCGAATTTTGCATGCTGTGGCCCCCAATCATCCCACCTTGAACTGCCCCAACGGGAGTAGGAATCAACTCAGCCATTTGGTGCAGCCAGATGTCCGAAATATCCATGGCTGGCGTATCGGTTGGGTGCCGGGTTCGTTTGATCAACTTGCAGAAGTCTGATCTCAACGGATGCACGGCGGTGGTGGTTTCACTTGGCGATCGTGTGGCTGTGGAACTGGAGAATGATCAACGGATTGCCGTGCGACCGCAGAATTTGGAAGTTCTGGAAGCTGACGGTGAGTTAGATGAGTTAGCGGTTGGGAGCAGGGTGATGATCAGAGGTCTCCAGAACCGCCCGGATTTGAACAGCCGCCATGGCACCATTGTCAGCCCCAAGACATCGAATGGACGTTGGGGAGTGGGGATTGGGCCGCAGAAACTTGCCATTTCAGAAAGCAACTTGTTGCAGCTTCCATGCCCACCTCACCTTGGTGCTCCAGCCACACGTGCCAGTCTACACCGGCAGGATCTCATACTCCTACACCTAGCAGCCAGGTCGCCTGATCCGTCATCCATTGCCATGGCTGAAGATCGAGCAGAGCTGCAAGCTGCTTGCTGCCTCCGGCAGAAACTCCTGTTCACTTGGGGAGTTTTACCATCAGATCCCAGGAGCTGTGTCAATTTGGCCCTGGCTCCAACGTTAGTCTTCGGTATGCTGGCTGCGGGCTTGGAGCTGAGGGAGGCCGACTTGAAGGTGCACTGCATCGGTGCCACGCCAGACTTTGAGGGCTGTGCAGATTGGTCCGGACTTGGGGAGCTGTTGGCTGCAGCAGGATTTATCCGTCCAAGGGTGGTTGAGATCACCTATTTCGGTAACCAGGACAACTTTGTTCTGCCCCAGGGAGTGCGTACATGGTCCATGATGCAAAAGTCAACTCGGTCCACTGCGCCAAAAGTCCGAATCCGGCAGTTTGATGAGCTTTACCATGCAAAGGAGAGGGAAACGCCGGATGTGGCGCTTCTTTGCCACCCAGGCTTTGACAACTACAAGGAGCTTTGGCATCCAACCTTGGGCATCTTGTTTCGTCTCAATGTCCCATTGAAACTCGGTAAAAACACGGTGCTCCCTGCGAAGGGCTTGCCAAATGTCCATTTCATTTGGGGGAACTGCGGATACTATCAGAAACCGGTTATCCATAGTTGGTTGCGTTGGTTGCTCAAATCATCTCAAATCCTTGTTTTACTTCTTGTTTTACTTATAGTAACTTTGGCAATCTTTGGCCTATGAATGTTTGAAACGCAATTTTCACCTGAAATGATCGGTTGAAATACTCAAGATCCCTCTCACTTAAGATGAAGCTCCTGAATTCTTGAATCCTTCGACCTGGTACGTTCAGCTTGTCAGGATCGTTGCGGGACACACGAATTTCCTGGTGCCCACCCATGATGCACTTGCACACCAGGATCTTGGTTTGATAGGGCTGGGCGCCAACCTCCTTCGACCACAAATTTGGAACCCTTTCTGCCAAGCCTACGAGGATCGAACCAAAGGCTCCTTGTTGGCAACACCCGGGCAAGAACACAATCATTGCAACCTGGGATTGATCTCTATCTGCCGTGGTGGGGACTTGAAACCATTTGAGGAGGCGAGGCTTGCTGAAAGATTTGGAAGTTCATCTAATGACGTCTCCGTTGATCTCAGAGTAGATGAAGTTTCATTCATATTGTATATGATCTAGTGACATTTATTTCTTGATTCCGTTCATTTCAGGTGGAGGCTTTCTTCGAAGTCGTGGATTATGTGGCCGTTTCAACCCAGGGTTTTCTGCCTTTCGAAGCTTTGGGGCCCCAACTTCAAAGCACTTTCCTGCGGCTCAAGTATCCACACATGTCAGAGTCTTGGTCTCTGTATCCATATCATCAGACTTGTATAATGATTTCTTTCTTATCAATACATATATATATATATTTACACACCATTTATTGCTGGTTGTTGCACCAAGTTTTTGCAGCAGATGAGTCCGCGTGCCCCAAGATTCCTGCAGATATTTTTTAGATTTTGGATTGCGTGTCACGCATCAATGTTGTATACAGTGGCTATTGCTGAGTTGATGCCTCAGGCTAATATTGAAATTAGGGACCACCACCCTGTGGCACCTTGATTGCTTTGCGTAGTCCCATAACATCATGCCCCACGTAATCAGATTCGAATTCATAGGCGCACAGTATGGCTGGGGTTCGGCACTACAAACACCTTGGCTCTCTTGGTGCATCTTGGAGAGTTTTTGCTTTTCCTTCCCACCTGTGATCCCTCATCTCCTAGGATGCGGCGCGGGCTGCTGCAGTCCAGTTGTTGCGGGACTTGACGCAGGGCACCTTGCAATGTCGCTCTGCTGGAGAACTTGTGACGCTATTGGAGCAGAGAGGCGTGGGTCAACACTACGCGCGAGGTCGAGGCAACTGGTGATGCCCCGTGACCATCCACAGCAATCCCATAGGATCCATGTATGCCATATATGGTAACATTTACCATCAATATATACCCCAAATGTTAGCATATATACCATACATGGATCCTATGGGAATGGATGGTCTTATTGCTGCCCACTGTTGTGCCATCAATGTATATTTCATGGCGAAGCTGCAGACTCCAGACATCTCAAGACCAGAAAACATAGTCCGGTTGTGCTTCTTGGATGATTTCCAAACAGAGTGGGCGTCCCACTGACAATGAGCAAGCTGAGAGGTGGGCGGGACTGCGTGAGTGCAACAGGTTATGGCAGAACGCGGACAGAAAATGCCATCAAAACCTTCAGATGCTGCAACTGCATGCAGACCAGAAGTTGATACTTCTAGGTACTTCCATGTTTTCGGGTATCCGCCCCCGGCTTGCCCGGCTACTACTTGTATCGATCATCGGAACTGAATGAATTAGAATTAGAATATTGTTGTGGGAGCTGTCGCAGAAAAGCCGCGCCCTTGGGTTTACTAATCTTGGGAGTAATTAAGAGGATCAACTGCTGTTGGTGATCTGCAGCCGCGTGCTCCGTGGCCAAGATAGCTCAAGGGCCCTGCCGGGCCACCCAGCGGGGCACAGCCCTCGTGCTGCACCCCCACAACGAAGCTTTGTGCCTTGGATGTTGTTGGATCAGCGCGGAGGGTCGGGAATGATATGATTGTGATCAGGAAGTACGCGGGTTCAATCGCAGCAATGGTGGCAAAAACTAGCAGAATACCCGTGAATACCCTTGGATTTGCGAGTAAAGACCATTGTGCCATTGGGTATCAAACCCATTGATGCAAAAACAAATCGAGCTCCTCAATGGCTGTAGGTGTTGACTTGGTTTGTCAAATTGTGTGCGTTGGGCCGCAGTCGAATCTGAAGAAACATGTCCACGACTGCCAAAGTTTGTGGGGAGAATGACCCCCCTGGCAAGTCCGTTTTCTTTGGGCAGCTGTACCAATAAACAGCATTGGGATGCATTGGGGGCCTTTTGGGGCCCATCATTGTAACACTGATGTTGCGCTGAAAACATGGTGGCACTGAGGTTAGTGAATCTCACCACGGCGGCGGAGAGGGAAGAACCATGAAGGCGGGAGCAGTATTGAGGCAGATCATGGCGCGTTGTGCAGCAAATCCGTTGGAACCCAAAGAAACAACTTGACCTTTCGATTTGAACATAATTGTGAGTAGTGTCAACCCTTGGAGCCGTCGAATAACATGTTCTTTTAATTATCAGCCCTAAGTGGACCGAAGTTAAACATGTATAACCATGTTAAATAAGTAATATAATGAGGTTATATAAGCAATAATTACAACAAATTATTAACTTATGAAATTAAGATCGGCAGGCCACTTTGGCCCTGGCCGTGGCCTTGGCGGCCTTGGCTGTGCCAAGCCTGGCTGCGAAGTTGCCGAGGAGGGATCCTTCCGAAGCTGATTTACCATGGGTTTACCCGCAAAAATGTTGGGTTAATGCTAGGAATCTAATCTAAAAAGGGCAAACACTTAAAAAGCAATCGAATTTGGTCTAATCTAATCTAGCCTAGTGCAATCTGCTCGAAGGGCAAGTGGGAAAACCTGAAAGAGGGTTGCGTGCAGCTGTCTTAGTAGAGATGAGCCAAATCTCATCTGAAGAAGGCAAATGGGGAAGAGCAAAACGTAGTCTAACCTAGTCTAATCGAACCTAATCTAAATCATCTAAAATCTAAATCTAATCGAGCCTACTTGAAGGGCACATATTTAAGTTTAAGAAGGGCAAAGGGGGCTAATCTAGCCTAATGTAATCTAACCCAATCGAACCTGGTCCAAACCCAATCTAGTCTGCTCGAAGTTCAAACAATCTGATCTGATCTAATAAAGGCAAACCGGGAATAGGAAAACTGGACAACTTAAATGCTAGCAATCTAATTTTGTCTAAAAGCGCTCATACAAAGCATGGCGAGAGGCGTTACAGTAGTGGAAATTTGCTATGAATAAACAGCCTGTGGAGATGGAAATTAGATGACGGAATCTTCGACTTGCAGAAAAATTAGGTTCATGTTTGGCTGTTCTGGGCGCTTTTGGGTTGGCATTGCAGACTGTGGGGCTCATCAGTCGTGAATTGGTGGCATCTTGGTGGAGTGTCGGTGATGTCTTGGTGCAACCCCCACGGTGTATCAGTGTTTATTGCTCAGGTGCGTCTTGGTGGCGCTTGGGCGGGCATGTATATGCGTCATATGGTGTTTGCGAGGTATTTTGTTGGTGTTGCGGTGGCATTTAAGCCATTTTAAGCCGTACTTTTGGTGGTGTATGCGCGGTCTCTTGCTTGTGGGTGTCTTGCTGGTGTTGGCATGGCGTTTTTTGGTTGCGCGTCGGCGGCATGTGAGCTCTTATATGGGGTGCATATTAGATATTTCAATCGTGTCTTGCATCTGCGCGCACGGACGCGCTACACAACATCAAACAATCCTGCACGCTTGTGGCCCATGACATCTCCAGCGTTTTCCTGTCCTTACTGGCAGAGCCTGCATAGGGAAAAGGCAGCTTGCGTCGAGTGTCATGAAGTAAACTAGTGCACATCTCATCCGAAACAAAAAACGGAATACGGCCAGCCGACTTTGCATTTTCCAGGGGGGTTGTGTTTTTTTTTTAATGTTTTTTTGGTGATTTTTTGTGTGGGTTTTCTACTTGACTGAGTGGCTTTTCGCAAATTCTGCAGATCCTCTTGGCAGCCGGTGTGCCAAAGTGTTGGTATTGGGATTGTTTGCCGGGCGGTTTGCAGACATTTACGCCATTGTACCAATGCCAGTTTCTGTTTATCGTTTGCTCATTGGGAAAGCACTTTGCAGCAACATGCAACGTATGTTTCAGGCAGGTTTTCAATTTTAGGGTTTCAAACTTAAGGATCGGGTGCCAGCTGCAAATTTCGAGTTTGTGAACATATTTTGTTGCGTAAGTTTTGCAGCTGGATGCGCAAGATGTTTGCAACAGAGTAACCCCGAATTACTTAATAATACCAAATTTTGTAGACAACAAATATATAGACACATCATATACCCAAAATATCCCAAAATGTGTTTTGCAGACACGATTATTCAAGGGTGGTTGCGATGGACATTGTGGAAGGGTTTGCTGGGTTTCCTGGAATTGCGGTATTTGTGGAGATCTTGGGTCATGCTGTCATGGCCCCCCCCGTTCACTGAAGAAAATTTCACATTGCCCACTCTTTACAGGAGTGATGCCTTACAGCCTGGAAAGGCGCACGATTTTTCTCGTTTTTCTAGACGATAGATGGTCAGCACCATAAATGGAAAGGGTTTCATGTGGAAAAATCAACCGGTCTCAAGATTGGTGAAGAGATAGCTGTCAGCCGAGTTTCGTCCTTGACAGAATCATGTTCTTGTCACACAATGAAGGCGTTGCAAGATACGGCAAGTGGCAACAAAAAGTCAAACAACAGCCCAGAGTTTTTTTTTGCGCTCATGAAGACTGTGCAAGAATGTCAGATATTTGCTGAAGAAGCGTCATGGTGGCCCATATTCAAGATGTGTTTGTTCTGTGGAGGCATCCCTCCTGACTACAAGACAGAGACAACAGTCCCGAGGGTCCGGAAAGCCAAGAGAATGAATTGCAATTGCTGACTCCATATGGACATTTTTGGCAAGATATGAGTTTGATTGAATATCGGGCACCCAATTTGAAGGAGTTTGTCATCATTGTCCCTATAGATAAAAAAAACATATACTGGTTGGTGGTTTGGAACATTTTTTAGTTTCCCCAATAGTTGGGATGATGATCCAATCTGACTTTTCATCTTTTTCAGAGGGGTAGGTATACCACCAACCAGAATATTATTAGCCATCATTAACCATATAATAACCATATAATCATATAATAACCATTATTAACAGTATATTACCAACCAATGGTAGGGTCATACCACCAACCAGCATATAGATTGAGGTGGAATTCCCGATAGACACATCGCAGAATGATGGTTGCCAGGTTCTCCGGCTGCCCCGAGAATCAGTTCCCTGACATCAACGTCACTGTCCAGGGAATTGCTGCTTGGCACAAACAAATGTCATGATGTCATGCCCAGAAAATGGCAAAAAAATGTGAACAAAAACAAGAAAAAAAACAAACTTCCGGCTTCAAGTGATCATTCTATACATAATTATCCGGTCATATATCATTATATCATGCCACATCACTCTACAAGTCTATATCATTTCATTCTATATGTTAGTATCAGATCCAAATTTCCAGGTGGTTCAGTCCATCTCATCTGCATCAGGGCTTCCACGATGATGTCCTGCCAGCAGCAGAGCTTTTGAAATTGCAAGAGCAGCTAGCTGGGCATCCAGATGCTTGCTGAAGGATGGGATGCCTGGGGATGATTTCTGAGGAAAGCCAGGTGGGTAGGGGGTTTACCTTGATTTAGTAATCGCACAAAATTGATAAACTAAACACGTTTAGCATTTTGACAGCTATACCCTCATGGAATCGAAATAACCCCTAACCCTAAATCAGTTAGTCAATTTCAAACCATTTATTCCAATCTTCCCATGAGAAAAACGTGTCTTTTTCTCACGTTCGCCATGGTCGCCTTAGCCGCAACTCACCATGGCTGCAGCTTAGGATTGGAGCATCGGCAAGCCTTGGGTCTTGAGCCTAACAGCGGAATCCCGCGACGTCAAGGACCGGGAGTTCGGCTTCGCCGGTGGGGAAGGTTTCCTCGCGCCTTGGCCAACAGAGATATCTTGGGATAGTGAAAACCCAATAGAAATATGGGATATTTCTGGATATTTCTGGATATTTCTGTATATTTCTGGATATTTCTGGATATTTCTGGATACAAGTCACTGGGATCATGCTTGGGATTGGGGTAAGTATCCCCAAATGGCCGGTGTTTGAATGGTTGTAGTTTATACCCATATTTAGCAGCAACTAGCCCTCTGGAAATCAACCATGGCTGGAAAATTCACTCGGAAAAACTGGAGGTTTTCATCAATTCAAGGAAGAAAGGGATTGGGAGATCTGTGGCGAGCTTGGTGGGCATATAATCAATGGCCATTTCAGGAACCTAAATTGGAGGTACCTACCATATATAAGCCTGTATAAGGCCTATGTAAGGGAATATCCCCACAAAATATGCCCTTATATGGTACAGTACCTCCAATTTAGAATCCTGGAATTCCCATTGATATAATAAGTGAACACCAGGTATGTAACCAATAGAACTTGGATGAATTTAGTAGAACTGGTAGAAATGTAGATGGGATAATGGATTATAGTGGGATATAATATTAACCATTATGGGTGCATAGTGGGATACACCCTCTTGTAAACAAACATACCAATGGAAAAAAATATACAATGTTGGATGTCCCATAGCTATGTTATTACTGGAGGCTGGGCGGTTGGACGGTACCTTGAACCATTTTGTTTTACAGGTGAGTTAGATTGCTTTCAACTGGGACTGTAGTCGACTGTAGTGTTTGGATGTGTTTGGTATTTCTTAGATGTCTTGAAGTATGTTTTGATATGTTTTGATGATTGAATTCGATCATAGCAGCTGTTGATATGAAAACCACCATTTTTTCCATCATTAATCATCATTAAATCATCATTAAATCATCATTAAATCACCATTAATCACCATTAATCACCATTAATCACCATTAATCACCATTAAACACCATTAATCACCATTAATCACCATTAATCACCATTAATCACCATTAATCACCATTAATCACCATTAATCACCATTAATCACCATTAATCACCATTAATCACCATTAATCACCATTAAATCACCATTAATCACCATTAATCACCATTAATCACCATTAATCACCATTAATCACCATTAATCACCATTAATCACCATTAATCACCATTAATCACCATTAATCACCGTTAATCACCATTAATCACCATTAATCACCATTAATCACCATTAAATCACCATTCATCACCATTCATCACCATTAATCACCATTAATCACCATTAATCACTATTAATCACCATTAATCACCATTAAATCACCATTAATCACCATTAATCACCATTAATCACCATTAATCACCATTAATCATCATTAATTCACCATTAATCACAATTAATTCACCATTAATCACAATTAATCACCATTAATCACCATTAATCACCATTAATCATCATAAAATCACCATTAATCACCATTAATCACCATTAATCATCATAAAATCACCATTAATCACCATTAATCACCATTAAATCACCATTAATCATCATTAGAACACCATTAATCACCATTAAATCACCATTAATCACCATTAAATCACCATTAATCACCATTAATCACCATTAATCATCATAAAATCACCATTAATCACCATTAATCACCATTAATCACCGTTAAATCACCATTAATCATCATTAAATCACCATTAATCACCATTAATCACCATTAATCACCATTAAATCACCATTAATCATCATTAAATCACCATTAATCACCATTAAATCACCATTCATCACCATTAAATCACCATTAATCACCATTAAATCACCATTAATCACCATTAATCACCATTAATCATCATAAAATCACCATTAATCACCATTAATCACCATTAATCATCATTAAATCACCATTAATCACCATTAAATCACCATTCATCACCATTAAATCACCATTAATCACCATTAAATCACCATTAATCACCATTAATCACCATTAATCATCATAAAATCACCATTAATCACCATTAATCACCATTAATCATCATAAAATCACCATTAATCACCATTAATCACCATTAATCACCATTAATCATCATAAAATCACCATTAATCACCATTCATCACCATTAATCACCATTAATCACCATTAATCACCATTCATCACCATTCATCACCATTAATCATCATAAAATCACCATTAATCACCATTCATCACCATTAATCACCATTAATCACCATTAATCATCTTAAAATCACCATTAATCAATATTAATCACCATTCATCACCATTCATCACCATTAATCACCATTAATCACCATTCATCACCATTAATCACCATTAATCACCATTAATCATCATAAAATCACCATTAATCACCATTAATCACCATTAATCACCATTAATCACCATTAATCACCATTAATCATCATAAAATCACCATTAATCACCATTCATCACCATTAATCACCATTAATCACCATTAATCACCATTAATCACCATTAATCACCATTAATCACCATTAATCACCATTAATCACCATTAATCATCATAAAATCACCATTAATCACCATTAATCACCATTAATCAACATTCATCACCATTCATCACCATTCATCACCATTAATCACCATTAATCAACATAAAATCATCATTAAATCACCATTAATCATCATTAAATCACCATTAATCACCATTAATCATCATAAAATCACCATTAAATCACCATTAATCACCATTAATCATCATTAATCAATGTATTTTCCCATGTTTTTCCCCATGTTTTTCCGTTTTTCCGAGGTCTTCAAAGTGCCCAAGGCCAGTGTTGGCACCGAGATTGTGGTGTCCAGCCGTGTGGAGAGCCTGGCGGAGCGCGCCCGTTTGGAGTACCGCGGGAGTGATCCCATCACGGTGCCCCAGGCGGTGAAACTCACCAAGATTTGCCTTAGAATCTCGCTTGGAAAGATGGGAAAAGATGGGAAAAGTTGAAGACCACCATATGTTTTTTGGATGGAAAATGGTGAAACATGGTGACAAGGCCATGAGATATCATCAGATTGTCATATTTTTTTTTATTTGTTGATCGTCGGATTGGCGAATGTTGACCTTTGCGAGTCACTTTTCAGTCCAGAAACCCAAAGTGACCCTCCTTTTGGGGGGATCAGACAGCAGTTGTGGTGAGGACCGATGACCTGTGAACATTTCTTCACCAAGAATCCCACGATGTGCAAAGATGACCTATGGAAGCGAAAACTGCATCCGGAGTCGGTCACCGGGCACACCAGGTCCGGTGTTGTTTCCAGGGTGAAGCCAACCACAACCATCAGATATGTTGGGGCCGGGTTATCACTGGAAAGTGGATAGAAGCATTGCTTGTGACAGCTGACAGGAATAGCTGCTGCGAAAAAATCCGTTGCGCAGATGCCGAACCATGCGCTCCCGCGACGAAGTATGAGAAGAGGTGCAGATGGAGGATGGAAGCTGGTTGCGGGTATTACTTCATACAAAACAACTGGTTGGTGGTTTGGAATATTTTATTTTTTTCCATATTGGGAAGAAGAATCCCAAGTGACGAACTCATATTTTTCAGAGGGGCAGGCTCAACCACCAACCAGACAAGAAAAGGCAGGCCTGCCTTGTAGAACGGCAGCACAGACAATCAGACTCTTCAACCGGCTTCAGTCAGTGTCTCTGCCAAAGTCGCGCCAAAGTCGCGCCATGGGAGGCCAGACTATAGCGAAGTCTTTGGTAGTAAGCTACTCGACAGCAAGTCCATGCGATCTGATTCTATCACCTGTAAGTTGTTTCTTTCTCCAGTGCTTTGCCTAAAATATTTTTTCTGTTGGAACCATGTGCCGTGCGGGGACTGAATGGCCCATGAAGAATTTTGGAGGAAAGTTGCGACAAACTAGGGCTAATTATATCTGATAGATGTGTGATATGTGCCAGTTCTTGTCAGTTCTATCTTGAATTGATGAGAAAATCCATGATGTTTCTTTTGAAACTTACCCTTCCAATTTTGGTATGAGTCTATATGAGTCTATATGTACTTTACCCCGCTACACATTGGATCGGATGAAACGCTGACACGACCAAGGCCGGACCAGTGCTGTTTGCCCAAGTTGTGTCAGAGCAGCATTTGCAACAGCAGCCAATGGGACGCCAAGCCCGGCAACGTCCTGAGCAGCACCAAGGAGGAGTGCTGCAGCCCCAAGGATTGCGATGACTACACCTGTAGCGGCAAGTTTGCCAAGAAACAGAAGAGGCCATGGATGTGAAGAGCGAACAGATATGAAAACGACGTCTTGTTACATCTGGATAACATCTGTCTTGTGTTGCTCTTCTTGATGTCCGTTTTTTGGGTTGGGATGCGGATGCAGCTGGTGTTCGTTGGGCCCAAATTTCCACGGCGAATTTCTCTCCATTTTTCAACATCCACAACCCAGCCCAGCTCCTCGGCTCACCCACCTTGAAGCAACGACACAGGCTGGATGAGGAAGGACGTCCAATGTTACAGCAGGGGAGCACCGATGAAGAATGCTGTGAGCCCATGTCTTGCGCCATGGCACACGTCTTCCGCGTTCGTCTTTTGAACGCGTCCTGGGAGGAAAATAGTGGGTCATAGTTGCCATAGTTCAAAGGTTGAGAGATCACCAGGGTCTTGGAGACTTTGAGACATTTTATGTTCAGATTTGGGTATGTGGATGGTTTCTATATGTTTCTATCAACTTACAGGCATCCCCCACTTCCCATTTCTTGCTTCACCTCCAGCACTTGCCAACCACAAGTGCTCTGCCATAACCTCCAGTGCTTTTACCTGGCCAGCGAAAATCACATATTTAGTTCGATGGATATCCTAGTCGTTTCCATTAAAAGTTGCAATGTTCCTGCCACTCATTGCATTACCAGAAGGTAGTAGCCTAGTAGCTAGACCTTTTGTCCTCATGATTCATTGACTTGGCCATTCTTACTCCATAAAATCACATCAAGTCACTGGCCATCTCAGGAACCTAAATTGGAGGTACCTACCATATATAAGGCCTATGTAAGGGAACATTCCCACAAAATATGGCCTTATATGGTACTAACGTACCTCCAATTTAGGATCCTGGAATTCCCATTGATCAAGTTGCAATTTCTGCTGGTTAGATGCCTCCAGCCTCTGTCAGCCACTGTCAGCCCGGTGGTCCAGGTAAGCACGTGAAATGTGACGCCACAGATCAGTGGGTCAAGAATGAAAGTGCTACCGTGGGCAGCAGCCTAGAGGAGAGGAAGTGATGGAATTGAAGTCACCCAGGCTGTGATGTTTAAGATATGGAGGTTTCCTAAAATGGAGTGCCCTAAAATCATCCAAAACTGGTCACAGACAATTGGAAAATGAATGGTTTGGGGTACCCATATTTCAGGAAACCTCCATATATCAACTTTTTGCAACGATAATATATGCAAACAAAACAAACATATGTATATAAAGTATGTATATGCATCTCTCTCTCTCTCTCTCTCTGAATCATGTGTGTATAGGTGACACCCAATTTTGTTTGCCCGCCGTGTTTCCTAGCTGGCTGCTAGTTTTAGAGATGGTCAATCAAGTTTCATCAACATAGGGGGGTCCAAGCCAATGATTCAGCAGCAAAATGGCTGCCTCAAGTTGAACCAGGATAGATGGGTCGAACCAATATAGATATAAAATATAATATTCATAAAACCATAGATAGATAGATAGATAGATAGATAGATAGATAGATAAATAGATAAATAGATAGATAGATAGATAATGATAAATAGATATATATATATATATACATATACACACACACATATATTATATATATACTATGTAATGACCCCCCCTTCCGATTCCGATAGCCCAAGCTGTTTCCAGGACTGCTGCACCCCGTTGTACTGCGCCAAGCACAGCTGCGAGCCGTCCACGCAGTGGGAAAAGGATCCAAAAGCAGTGCTGGGGAGCAGCAACTTGGACCGGTCGTTACGCTTGTTGGTTCTGTTCAATGGGAATTTCAGGAACCGATTGATTTGAGGTAGCTACCATATATAAGGCCTATTTTTTAGGTCTATGTAAGGGAATATACCCACAAAATATGGCCATTGTTCTGTTGATTTTTATCCGACAAATCATGGTGGCAGTGTTAAGCCATGACTGGCCACCATGTGTGACGGGCGAGTTTTTTCAGCACCAAAATAAGTGACACATGTGGTTTGAGAGAGCTGGCCGGAAGCTGCGAGGTATTCTTATTTGACATAAGGTGATTTTTTTGGGATGGTTGCCCCATACAGTGCCGATATAAGTCGTGGCTTTTGCTAGGCTGTCATGGTTTTTGGAAAGTCTATCAAGTCAGAGGTGGCTAAACAACTCTTGATGATGGTGCTTGAAGATCGTTGAAGATGATGCTACCATCACGAATGGATTGTAAACGAACTTGATGACTAAAAAAAACTTTCCCAAAGAAAAATAAATTAATCAACATGAGCCAACCAGTTTATTTTAAGTACCATTGTTATGTAAGTCATATACCTATCCTACAGCAACAGGATGTCCTTTTTTATCATTCTGAACTGTGGTTGTACCTTAAACATCGTGAAGCTATGTCCCCCTGATGCAGTTGAGGCAATCCTTCCTGTTGCAAGCCCAAACTCTGCAAAGACTTCACGTGCGAAGACGGGTTCGCCCTGAGGTACTGGAGATAACAGGGTCCGATGTCGGTGGTACCTCCAGGTTTCAACTGATTGTTCGCAAGATGGGTATGGCCTTGGAAAAGGCGACTTGGAAAGTTATGAGTATGAAAATCATTCTATGGTCTTTAAGGTTGCAGGTTTTTCCAGATCACCACACCTGCACAACTTCCCTTGTATGGTGTATGTAGTTTCACCATGCCGCTGACAGGGCTGGCGCGGTGATGAATCAGAAACTTCTGCAAGGTAGCACCTTAGAGGAGTGTTGTGAGAAGAAACTCTGCAGAAACTGGAAATGCAACTCGGCTCCGTTGCAACGGGTATCAGTTGGTTATCAGTGGCTAGTCATTACCAGTTCTTATTTCCACCATTTCTTTTGGGGTAAATTAAATTGATGCAGCCTGAACCCTTCCAGTAATCAGAGACTCATTTTGTAATCCTATCCCCTGTTCATATTAAACACCCCTTCCGATAAATCAGGGTTTACGAAGTAGGGGATCGGATAAACACACTAAATGACTGGGACCATTTTTAGAACATGGGGGTCTAACTCATATGAACAGGCGGACGGGATGAATTCTTCACCAACATTCCCATCATAAACCCATAATATCCCCAAATGCTCAAAATACCACCATATCATAATATTCATGTTCCTATGATACTCCCACAATATACTCCCATAATATTCCCATCATACGATCTATAGAATCTATAGGTATGATACCCGGTTTGGAACATTTTTTATTTTTCCGTTGGGAATGTCATCATCCCAACTGACGAAGTCCATCATTTTTCAGAGGGGTAGGCTCAACCACCAACCAGAAAATGAATTGATCCATGGTACCCTCTGGTAAACAGCCACATAACTCACATAACTATGGAAAAGCACCATTGTTTATGGGTAAATAGGTAAATACTCCCAGATAGGTATGATATCCCCATGATGTTTCCACCATATTCACATCATCTCATCCTTCACCATCGATCAATGGGAGATCTCCAGGATCCAATTGATGCAGGTACGTATACGTACCATATTTCTGGCCATATTTTGGGGGGATATCCCCTGAAATTTAGGCCTAAAAAATAGGCCTTATATATGGTAGATACCCTCTGGTAAATAAGCATAGACCCTGAAAATCACCAATTTATAGTGGAAACTAGTCTTCCAACCCCTGTCTGCCAGGGTCTATGTTAATTTACTGGAGGGTACCTCCAATCAATCGGTTCCTGTTGCATGGCCATTGAATCGAGGCAGTGATCCAACCAAATGGGTCCAGAAAGCCGATGAAACGCATCGAGAACTCGAGCGACATGGTTGGAGTGACGAGGTGAACTATGGGGGCGCCGGCTTTTTTTTGGGGCCTGGTGGCCCTGAAACTATGGGTTGAAGATGAGTAGAGAGATTTTGCACATGACTTAAGTATAGTGATTTTACATAGCAATAATATCTACTGTATGATGATGGTGTTTTGGTTTGATAATAGTTATGTTGTCGTTTTCCATGTTTATTATCTGAGATCATTCGACATATAAATTGTTTACTGAGATCAGGAACATATTTTGTGGGAACCGGGCGAAGCACCAAACAGATGCGGGAGATCGGGATGAGTATCTGAGTATCGAATGGAACATATGGAACCGGGCGAAAGGTCAGGTGACTTCCATGCTTCGTTTACTTCCTGAATTTGACACTGCCAGCAGCGGCTCTAACTCACCAGAGTTGCTTTGAGGAACAAATTGCTAGGAAACCTTACATCCAAGAGCCAAACAAAAACAATTTGTAAAAATCATGGTTTATAATATATATAATATATATGCCTTATATATATATATATATCTATCCGTGGAGATTTCCCGGAAGTCCAGGAGTGTTGTACACCAATCTCCTGCAGCAGTGTGGACTGTGTCCCAGAGTCCTTGTGGAGTCCCAGCACCTTGGTACAGCAGACGTAGGCATCAAGGGCTGTGGGCTTCAGAGCTAGGGCCAGACTACCAATTTATGTGGGAATCCCATGGGAAACCCATGGGAAACCCATGGGAAACCTATGGTAAACCTATGGTAAACCCAAGAGTAAATGACTTTTTTGGGGGTTAGATGGGGTTATCATGCTTAAACGCATCACAAGCCCAAAAGATAAACATGGGTAAGTTGCGGACTGTTCATGATCGGTTTGGCCACATTATGAATTGCCCGTATGAACCCGTTTTGCCAGTGTAAGCGGCAAGGAACCCTTCTGATTGGGACATTTACAATTTTGGTTTCCATTTGCATTTGGTACACTGTAAACCCCCAAACGATAGCAAATTAAGTTGGCAAACATAACTCCAAAAGTTAGGATTTTTTTTGCATTCTTGGACATAAGAGTCATTTCGAGCTGCTCCATTGGTCCATATCTCTGTGGAGTTTACCCATGGCATCCCTCATCATCCCTCTGCCCAGAATCGGCGGAAGAACTGGAAGGTGTTCAGGGTAGCACCAGTGCACAGAGCCTTGGCTTTCCAATGGGAGATGACGATTTTTGGGGATATTGATGATGGGTGGTCATGTCCGATTTTTTTTTTGGAGTCTTAAACCCCAAGGTAGGTGATGGTATAGGATACGTCGTTTTTTTTTGTTGGCAGTCGTGTCTCAAGAAATCGTGTGTGTCCGATGACATTCCGGCACCCACTTCTAGATAGGTATCTTCCAAATCTTCCAAATTCATGAGGATCTTTTATCGAACTTAGATCCAGCACAAGATTTTGCCCTACTTCCAGTATCCCATCCATTCAGTCACGGGAGGAACACGGGGGATGGGACCCACTCGTATCCGAGGTGTTGCAACCCTCGATGGTGCAAGGATTATACGTGCACTGGTGATATTCCGAAGATGATACTGGCTGCAATGAGAGGGGGTAGGTCAGGCAGGTTGGGCAGGTTGGGCAGGTCCCAGTGTGCAGACTGCTTGAGTTTGGTTGTAGACTCATCCAACTATAGATATATCATGATATATCATGATATATCATGATATATCTATACCCTGACCCAACTAATCTAGTTAACTTTGGGGGCATCTATATACAAATGCTTCGAAGTCAGCATGTTCAGCATGTAGACATCTAGTTTTTTTCAAGAACAGATTCCTCATCAAAGGCCGCTTTCCGAATTGCATTTGCATCCCGTGGATGGTTTCCCAGGAACATCTCCAGCAGCAAGTGGTTCAAAAAGGTGGATACCAACCATTTCAAATTCCGTGGGAGCACGGATGAGGAGTGCTGCCATCCCAAGTATTGCAGTGAGTTGCTTCGGCAGAATGGACTGGTAGCAAGTTGGTTTCCAGATCTCCAGTTTTCATGGTGGGTTTCCACCACCCAAAGAATAGGATGAAGATCGAAAATTGACCCGCGTTCAATCCTGGGATGAGTTGAAAAGAGCAACCTCTTTTCAGTCTCGACATCCAGAGTTCGGTGGTTTTTCCGGTTCTTGGTAAACCAGCCCCATTTTTTCCACAAGTGAGTGGTATATAAACCATCAAAATCATTCTGGTTGGCTTATTATTCCTCCTCCCCCCGGTGTTAGTTATGTAAATTGATAGTCAACAGATATTAGGTGTATAGTATATAGTATTGAGAATTACATACGGTTGTAAATAATGTAGGTGTATAGGCTGGATAGGCATATAGGCATTTAGGTATGCATTAGGTTATACAAGGTATCTATTAGGTGTGTAGTGTTAGGTATGTAGTGTTAGGTTTTCTCTATGTAATATGTTGTAGTGTTAGGTACGTATAGTATATGCTTTATATACGACATACATAATTTATATATATATATATAATGTGGGTGTGCCCCCATATGAGATCTTCCCCCTTCCCCCCAGTGGCTGGTAGTGGCCCACCCCGGCAAGGTTTTTCACAGCTTATCCTAGCAAGTACGAGCGGAAACCTGAAGATCAAGAGAAGCCAAGGCGGCCAAAAGATCGAAACATGACCTGCTTGGTGGGTCCAACTGCAATGCACTTGGGTGCCATTGCAATTTATTATACCCTAAACCCCAATCATAAAATATAATAAATATGGCTGGAAAATAGATGTTTATAGATTAATGGATTATTTAATCATTATAAACCATTCATAATTTAGATATTATAGATGACTTTCCCATTGAAATCTCCATCTGATTTTTCTGTTGCTACGCTTGATTGCCGGAGGATTGCGGGAGGCTTTCCGGGGTCTCGCTTGATTTTTTGCCAAGCGAAGTCGAAGTGACAATGATTCGGTAATTTTCAGGTTCAAAAATGCAACCACTCCAGTCATTGGATTGAGGGAAAATCTGCAGGAAACCATTGTTATTACCATAAAATATGGGGTTTTCCTGTAAATTTTCCCTTAAATCAATCCATTGAACCACATTGGAACAAGTATTTTTGAGGTGTTTTTTGGTACTTATGTCCCATTGCCCCCTAGATCTTTGAAAAGTGGCACTCAAAAATTCTCATGGTTTGCCTTGCCAAGCATACCATGATATACCATGCAATGCCAACTTCACCGACCAGGCAGGGAAATACGGAAGCTGAGTGCTATAATGAGTTGAAGTGCAGCGACTACTGCTGCGTCAATGACAAGTTGACCCTGAAGGACGTGGAAACCACTTGGGAACCCCAAATTCCTGGCTTTGGAAGACGATTTCCCTATGAAAAAAAGGCCACTCTTTTGTTGGGTTCCATGTTGAATTCAAACGGCTTGCACATGGGGAAACATGGTACTCGTAGAAGTGTGTATTTCAGTATGGCTATGCTGCCTTAGTGTTGTGATTTGTTGCCTTGCTTGCATTTGGCATGAATTTGCATCCAAAGGGATGTTGGTTTTATGTTGGAAATCCAGATGTGGCTTGAAAATCACAGTCTTGTGAAAGACACTGTGGCATCCGTCTACTCTCCGGTGATGAAACATTGCAATGGACAAATAATTATCCATTTAAAGATGTTTTTCTCATTAACACATGAACATTTTTAAAACCAGCATTTATAGATGTTCCCATTAAAAACAAAACACATTTAGGACATTTTCCCAGCAAACCATGTTACATTACCAGTAAGATTCGTCCCCACCAGTCCCGGAAATCATCAACTGAACCATGTCCCAAGGAGGATGCTGCAGAAATTCTTGGCAGCACGGATGAAGAATGCTGTGAAGCCGCCAAACGCCAGCGTTGATCATCGTGTTGACCAAACGCATGCGGAACGAAAATGGAATGATTTGGCATGGGGCAGTATAGGCGCAGAGGATTTGGAGCCACACATTTGCAGATGCATCCGCATTGACAATTGTTGACATTTGGGTTTGTCTGAAAATAGGGTATATTCCCAATTATAGCCATTTATTAGGGATAATGATCATTAACCATTGGGTTTAGGGGTACACTATTTTCAGACACACCCATTTGGAGGAAACCTGAGCATTCCAATGACTGACACTGCTAGCAGGCCTTCTGCGGAGATCTGAAGGGAGGCCATAGTGAGAAGTGTGGGAAGCGGCTGTCGAAAATGGAGGTTCTGAGCTTGTGAGGCAATTGCCATCAAGTCGGCCTTGATTTGGGATGTTTGGATCAATAAGATCCAGAACCGGAAAAATGAATAAACATGATGGAAAGGGTACAGCATCGCTACTTTGATCAAGTATATAATACCTGCTCAAAAGTGGGTTGGACATGGGTGGAGAAGCAAATGATTGTACAGATTTTCTATGCGCAGGAAGACTGCCACCTTTTGATGCTTGTTCCGCAGCCATTTCTTGTTCCGCAGCGACCTCAGGGCAGGTTGCTGTGTCGCTGTGCATATGAGCGAAAAGCTGCCCATATTGCACTTCGATCACCAATGACTCCCGTAGGTCCCATGGTTCGTCGATGTAGGTCACGAACACCCGTTGCATTATCACCAGCACCTTGGAGAATTGCATGCTGCGTTGTATGGCTGACTAAGATGATGAGGATTATTGTTATGAAATGCTATGAATAGTTGCCAAAATATTGTTATTGTGTTTGTAAGTGTGTTTATTGTGTTTGTAAGTGTTATCAATTAATTACTATGTTGATCTATGTTGCTTGTTTTTTGTAGTTATATATGTATATACAGATATGTGCATATGCAATGATTTATTCACATCTTTAAGTATAATGATAACACATTAACATATCATTATCATTTATTATGTTAGGAACATCCAAGTCCGAAGACGCAGACTTCACGCCTTGTGAGCCACTGAGATCCTAATCTTGTGCCTCTGCATTTTATGGCACACAATTCAGCCCCTTGGCTCCTGAATTGGCTTGGTCTGTACATGTCACCCGAAAAAAGAGAGAACAGTAAAATCCCATTGAATCATTGAGATAGTCATTTCCATATTTTTTGGGGTTACTACATGTTTGATGATATGTGGCGGGAAGTGTTGTGCTGTCGTATGCCGTCGTTCATTCATTATATGCAATCATTGAACACTACTTCAGTGATTTTTCCAGGGAACCAGAAGCTGCATTGAGCCATTGCCCAGCTCAGTACATGAAATTGTACGAAGTACCCTCTGTTAGTCCAACATACACGGAAAGTCATCTCGTCGTGGGCCATTTCCTGAGAGGACCTGGTTTGGTGATGGTTCCAATTTCTCGCTTATGGCGCCCAAGTCCTACCGTGGTATTGTGGCCACACCTTCACATCATCACAGGATCACTCTCAACATGTTTCTCCATGAAACTTGGTGATGAACATCAGCGGAAAATCATGGAAAATCATGGCGCGAGCAGAGATGATTTTATGTGCAGACCAATGGGATTCGATTATCACATTGTCACATGTCTGTGTTGGTTCCCTTTGGGTTTGCTGCTTTTTGTTTCCTTCAAACAATTTGTTGCAACGGAAATCCATGGAAATCCCAAAGTGGCAGTAATTTTGCAGGGAACAATAGGAAACATTGGTATGTTGCAGGTGGGGGTGACAGTAGAACTCCACAGAACTCCGTTGCTTCTCTATTCTGCTTATTTTCTGCTTACTCGTTCTCTTAGCCGATGACTTGTCATGTTTTGCTTCAAAAAATGGAAAATCAAACTGCCAGTGAGGGCTGTAGGAACCCCTCCAGCAGCCAAGGATGTAGCAATCATCATGCTATTCGCGGCGGTTGGCTATGCAGTGCCTGATCGAACAGAAGCCCCAAAACCCGACCGCGCATTGAACATTTGTTGATGGAAACCCTTGACTCATATATCATATCTGCAAAAAGTGAGCCTATTGTGCCCAGGTAGGCAGGCAGGTAGAGAAAGAGAACATTAGCTCAAACCACATTTTTCCTCAAATGTCCTCATGTTTTACATGGTAATTCTTGCAATATCGAGCAATCAACCATGAATCAACCATGAATGAACCATGAATCAACCATGAATGAACCATGAATCAACCATGAACCTTTGCAAGGCGGCTTACTCTCAGCAACGTTGGTTGGCCATGCCCCACGCCGTGGAAGAATTTGCGCCGGGCCCTCCGAGCCCCCAAAATGGCGCGTTGTTGGCTGCTGGGTTCCTTGGACCTGCGAACAAAAAACACGTCGAAGCGAAGACGTCACGTCAAGGAATGGTTTAAGGGGGATAGAAATTGTTGTTTCATATGTTTCATCAAGTGACATAGAAATTCTATGAAATTGTAATTTTGATTCTTTTTGTAATGGTTAATTATGGTTACATAGCCTTGTTTCATCTAATTTCATCTAATTTCTATGTTATTTCTATGATAACTTCATGTAACTTGTCATGGCACACATGAAGTTTGGCACACATGAAGTTGAAGGACTGAACATCCAGTTTGGCGGGCAAGTTTCAAGAGCAAATGCCGTGGAACAGCATCCTGAAGTTGGATTTTTTGCGGATGTTTCTGTAACTTTGGCGGTGTCTGAAAAATCCCGGAACATGGGACCTCCACTGGCATCCAATCAGTACATTGACTTGGAAAACCTGACAAAACAACTGCTTCCAGAGGTGAGGTCGTCAGAGTCGCTACCATTTGAGGCTCTATGGTGCGAATATCGCATATAATGTCATCAACAAACGCGTTCTGCTGGCGCATCCGCATCCCTGTTTGGTCCGGACCTTAGTGTCGCTCCAGGATGGATGTCATTTCCACCTTCCATGCCGTTACGTTGAGGTCACAGGGATCAATTTGTGTTCGTCTTCACTTTGCTGCGTAGTTTGCTGGATGCTGGGTCTCATTCACTGGCCTCGCTTTTTGGGCTGGCCCTTCTACTTGCACCTTGCCGATGTGGGCGGCGATTTTGTAAAAGGGGGTTTTCCAAGGGTGGCCCGTCGTCCCAGGACTTGCGGGGAATTTAAGCATCAGCCAAACCAGATGGTTATTGGGGTGATATTCAGTCATGGAACCGCCATGACCCAGGTAATTATTGAGATGCCTTGACAGGAGCACCACTTGATGTGGTCATGAAAGAAACGCCCAGGAATCTCTATATATTGCCACATTGCCATTTTTTTGCGATGAACCATGATGGGAGCATCAATCTTCAAAGGTCTTCTCAGCAGTTGCTGCCACTCAGGAAGCTCATGGGCTTAGCAGTGCTGCATTGGAGTGGCATGCTCTTTTCAAACATCTCGGTGTCGGAAGTCCATATCTCCTTCACCCACACTGTAAAGGCAGACATCCTCAGCTGGAGACTCCTGGAGGGCGAAATTCGTAAAAAGCGGTGATATCATGGGACTGTTGATTTGGTTACCATTTGGTTATGACTAACATAGCCATGGAAAATCCCAACCATAAATGGAGGTTTTAATGGGAAAATCATCTATAAATGGGCCATTTTCCATGGCAAACTGTTAAATAATCAGATGGTAATTTTTGAACCAGACTTGTAATCAGTGTTAGTTGAAAATCCACTCTCCATCATTCTTGTTTGGCATCTTCACAACCTTCAGCTGAAACCAAACTGAGAATTTCTTCCACCGTTGGAGAAATGCTGTGGGCAATCTTCTATGTGAGGCAGCTGAGCCTTTCTTCACTGCTCTCTTTACTGCAGTGCTTATTGGTCACAAGCCAACCCTTCGTCGCTTGTCTATTTTTGTTGGGTTTCACCAAGTTTGCATATTATGTTTTCCATAATCAACCATAACTATCAATTATCCAAGGGTTATTCTGGGCCGTATCTGATTTCCATAATCAACTATCACTATCATTGTCATATCATAATCGAATATCATATATAATGAGGTTCACTTGCTATCATAACATGATTATTATCATATCAAATAGTATCACACTAGGTGATAGTCAGTTATATATTCAATATAAATTGATAATATTGGTTCACTTTTGATGAGTATCATATGGTTTAAACCGGTATTATCAAGCCTATCATAGTGAAAATCCCAATGGAATCTTAAACCTAGCTAATATCCAAGCAATTACCCAAGCATAGTTGAATGCATGTCCCAACTATTCATTTCCCGAAAAAAAGTAATAATATACGAACATATACGAACATTTTTGAGGCCCGAGAGGTTGCCAGCAACCAGAAAGACAGTTTTAGATTTAGATATTCTCGATCCCCACATCTCTTCCCTGTCCCCATGGCGGAATCGGCGAAACGTCTACTTGATCTACAACCAGTCCGAGAAGATGAGAGGAGATCCCCGGATCACAAGAAGTCCAAACAAGAAAAGAAAGAAGAGAAAAGACGAGAAAAAAAGGAAAAGAAGGCAGAGAAGAAAGCCGCGAAGAATGAAAGACGAGAGGAACAGGCAAAGCATTGGCGAGAACAAATTGCCAACACACCACATCGGCCATACACAGACCCCTCGGAGGAAACAATCACCCCCCCGAGACGAGACACCCTGAAGGCATACAGCAGTGCACGACCTTCAGCATCCTGCAGCAAGGAAGCAATGACAGCAGACACAGAAGAACGTATCAGCACAGCTGAAAAAGATATCAACCAACTCTTTGACGACACCGGCATTCTCTTCAGCGGCATGAAGCAGATGCAGAAGCAACAAAACTACCTGATGCAAAGAGACCAGAACCAAGCTAGAAAGGAAGCGAACCAACAAGCTATCATTACAGGCTGGCCAGTAGACGCACAAGAACAAGACCGAGATCGCATCGTAGACTGGTTGGTTGGTGCCGCCTCCATCCCTGCAAGGGAATTCCTCTACGCATCACACAAAGTTCAAGGTGAAGTCCTTTCCCGAATCTCCATCCTACACTTCAGGAGTGTATGGGCTACAAAGAAGTTCCTGGAAAGCGCCCGCAGAATCACATCAGACAGACACCCCTTGCCATACTGGCATTCCGACAACAGCATTCCAAGAGACAGTTCTGGCACCCCCTACTTCCTGAGGGTCAAGCAGCAAATCTCCACACCCGACCGAATCAGGAGCATCCCCATGAAGGCATTCCTACAATTGATCAATGACACCCCAAACTGCGAATACCATCAAGAAACAAGAAACCTTCACAAGAACTGGGCTGCCAACATCATTGCAACAGAGAACGGCAACTTGTTGAAGTGTGTCTTCAACGACGCGGATGGGACAGTGAAGCTTCTCATCCGGGAGGATCTATTCCCAATGGCCGAAGAAGGATTAGCAACTGCTTGGAAAAAAATAACAACACGACACTCAGACGAAGACTTCACAACGCAAAAAGGAAAAGGAAAGGGAAAGGCAAAATCCTCCTCAAGCACAGCCCGAGGCGTCCAAGATTACCTCTACAAGGTGCATTTGGTAAGGGTCCGTCCGCTTGAGGACGATGAGGATCCATAGGGGCTTTGCGGCTGGCCAAGCATACCGTGGAAACACGGACTTCGAAACCAAAACGACACCAATTCTAGTTTTGCTCCAATGATACCGCAGCTCTGCGGACTTCGTCACCAAAAAGAGACTAGACAAAAAACAACCGAATCCCAATTTTTAAACGCTGGCGTCCTACCTTCCATAGGTGGGCTGGGTCAGCCGCGAATCTCCCACCGGAGTTTTCTGCGGAGACGAAATGGTCTCACAACACAGCACTCAAAACACAAACTCGAATTGCCAAGAGCGAGTCATAAAAGAGGCCTACGTTCAAGAGACGCTGTAAACAAACGAAAAACTAAACGAACAGAGAACCGCAGAGAGAACAGAATTTCATACCGCATTTATAAGAAGGCTGTGTTGCAAACCCGCTTTGGCAAGGCCAAGCCGGCGGGTTTTCACAATTTGGCTCAGGATACCCCTCAGCCATGCCTTGACGCACGGAACTTCTTCCTTACTGCTGCACATTCCAGGCTAGATGGTTTCCACAAATATCGTAATAAAGAAAAGACCTTAAGTAACCCCAAAAAACCTGATGACCCTAACTATCAGCAAGACTCTGCTGCCAGATGGACTATGAATTCTTACATTAAATTTGGTTCATTGAATTGCCGTGGTCTTGCGAGTGAACACAGCGTGACCAAAAAAGAAGTATTGGTTCACTCCATGAGGAAACTCGGCCTAGATATGCTTTTTCTTCAGGAAACTCACATAAATACAAATTCGACCGAAACGATTGCGGGCTTTTGTTTCATATACTCCACAAGCATAACGGATGCTCAAAGAAAACAAGCCGATAAAACCAGAGCAGAAAATACGGCTAGAGGCCGCCAAAGAAATGGAGTCCGACATGCACCCCCAATTGACATTGAACATGGAGGCACAGGTGTTATTCTTTCCCCAAAAGCAAAAGCTACACTCTTAGACTTTGAGCAAATTGATGGTCGAATCATGACCGTAACTTTGGATATGATTGGGCCGCCTCTCCACTTCCTAAATGCGTATGCGCCACAAAGCGGTACTGAGACCAGATTAAAGAATGATTTCTATGAAACGCTGGAACGTAATTTGGTCAGTTTCCCCAATAGTCATCCAACCTTCATCGTAGGAGACTTCAATGCAAGACTGCATGCCCGTTTTGAGAATGAAGCTTGTTGTATTGGACAGCACATTTTTGGACGTGGCTTGAACTTCTTGATCCACAATTCTAGCCCAGCTTCATTTGAGAACAGAAGCCTATTTGTAGAATTTTGTTTGGCACATGACCTCCACATTGGTAACACATTATTTCAAAAACCTGTGTCAAAGCAGGTGACCTTCAGAGAAGCTGGTGTGCTAGGTGGACCTCCCTGGTCCCCGGATAGATTTGCTCAGATTGATTTTGTTTTGGTTCCTGACAGGTGGAAAAACACTTTGGTTGACGTGTCCTCATCCCCTGAAATCTTCACTGAATCAGATCACTTCATTGTTTGTGCGAAATGCCGCGTCAGAAGGAAGCAGCTTAGTTCTACCGTGGTCAAAAAGATTACATATAGTCCCCCTACTCCACTGGAAAAAGCCAGTTATAACCAGTTCATTTCAGATACACTGCGCCAGGCAAGTGATGCGGAAGCCAAAACCTTCCTTGATTCTATCCGTAAAGCAGCACGTGTAAATTTGAGACCAACACCGCTCGGCAGATGACGTTCGTATATTTCTGAACATACATGGGACCTGATCTTGCAAAGGCAAAGAGAACATGACAATGGCAATCATGATATCTTATCTGAACTTACTAAGAAGATCAAAAAAGAGGCTAAGAAAGATAAAAAAAGACATATCCTCGAACAGTTGAAAGATACCTTACCATCTAGAGAGCAATGGGCTGGAATAAAAATCATCAAAAAGAAGCGGACACCCAATTTCACCAAAATGAAAGATAAAGATGGAAATAGGGTCGGCCCCCGCGGGCGTGCAGGAGCAGTTGCTGATTATTTACATGCTGTGCAGTGGAAAGCTGACATCCTACCGCCGTCAATTACTAAGAGATCAATCATCCAAAGTGACTTGCCCTATAATCTTGATCAAATAACTATGACAGAACTTGATGCAGCATTACGAAAAGCGAAGAACCACAAAGCTGCCGGCCCTGATGGCATTCAGGCTGAATTATTCAAATATTTGGATGTACAAAACAGAGCAGCTCTCCTTTCCGTATTGAATGGGTGGTGGTCCAAGGAAGCTATCCCATCAGATTTCTTAAATGCCCAAGTTGTTTCTATTTTTAAAAAAGGAGACACTGAAAACATTGCTAATTATAGACCCATCTCTCTGTTGAATGCTATTTATAAGATCTTTGCTGAAATCATTAGACAGAGGCTTTCTGACGTAATTGGCCCATACATTTGTAATACCCAATTCGGGTTCAGAAAAAACCGTTCCACCACGGACGCGTTATTCATAGCCAGAAGGTTGCAAGATTTGGGAGAACGATCTGGGGACAATATCGTGATATGTATGTTAGACTGGAAGCAAGCCTTCGACCGGATCTCACACCCGCGGATGATGCAGGCCTTGGAGAGGTTGAACTTACCAAGAAAATTCAGAAATCTTATTGCAAGTTTTTACACGGACCTTTCCTTCCAAGTGAAACATGAAAATTTTCTATCGCATGCTAAATCTCAAGATGCCGGCATACGTCAGGGATGCCCACTCTCCCCATTTCTGTTTATACTCGTCATGACTGTTCTGTTTCACGACATTGGCGTAGAACACTACAGGGACCTTTCAGAATGTAGGCTTGACCAAATCAGTTTTAATGAAGTCCTGTACGCAGATGACACGCTCCTGATTTCCCGAAACACATTTGGCATGAACTTGTTGCTTCATGCCATAGAAGACGAATCAGCTTACTACGGACTAAAACTCAACCACGACAAATGTCACGTTTTGGCAATGAACGGTCACAACTGTATTCGCTTTAAAGATGGATCTCGCATGAAGCACGTGGAAGAAGCCGTTTACTTGGGCGGAATTTTGACCAAACATGTTAACATTGCGTCAGAAGTGTCCAACAGAATTGCATCAGCTATGGCGACTTGGAAGAGTTTGGATATTTTTTGGAAAGAAGCACAATGCAGCACCAGAAACAAAATTCTAATTTATAATGCAGTCATTCAATCAAAACTTCTCTATGCCTTGGAAACAATTGAGATTCCAGTGGCTCTCCTTTCACGATTAGAATCTTTTCAGTTGAAAGGTTTGCGAAAGATTCTAGGCATGACTACGACCTACATCAATCGTGCAAACACAAATGAGGAGGTTTTCAGAAGAGCAAACTTGCACATTGCAGCGAACCATCATGGAACCAAAATTGAACCAATTCAGGACATTTTGGCCCATCGTCGCATCGCACTTGCAGCGAAAGTTTTGAGACAAGACGATGACAGCCCTATGAGAATGGTCAGTTTCAAAAAAGATACCGCCGCACCTGTTGAGGTATTGTTTCGACGGGTCGGCAGACCCAGGAAACAATGGACGCAAAACACCTTGACTATGATATGGCGTAAAATTCGTAATGACCAAAGTGATTTCAACAATTCCAACGCACAACTTGCTCAAATACTGCAAGCAGCTATCAACAAAGAAATCTAGTAACATTTTCCTACCAGGCTGTATCCTGGACATCGTAACTAAGTCGAACTAATCTATAGTTCTACTTCAAGGAGTTCCTGTACTGAGGGGCAACGATGCTGCGGGGAGCCTACGGGTATGGCACCTGCCTTTCTAAGTTAGTTTCACATCCGTTTTTTCACAAACCATACCTATGGCACGCAAGAAGAAGAGAAGAAGAATAGTTTGTTTCAACTACTAGACGAAACACTATATTATTATCCTAATCCGGATCCATGGTGCTGGTATGCTAACATTGGGGGTATATTGATATATATTGATGGGATCCATGTTACCATATAGCTATAGCAGCACCGTTAGGATCCTATGGGTTACCCTCTGGTAAACGTTTACATAGCTATGGAAAGATCCACCATGCTATTAATGGGTAAATCCACAATTTCGACTGGGCCATTTTCAAGTTCGCAAACTGTAAACGTTTACCAGAGGGTATCCTAATAAGATGGATGATTTTCCCATTACAACCTCCATTTATAATGGATTTTCTATGGCTATGTTAGTCATAACCAGATGGTATCCTAATAAGATGATTGATATCCCAATGAATTTCCAGGTGCCTGGCTCAGTTTGTTGGTGGTCATCGGTGGCATTGTGGTGGCTTCCACCGCGGAGATTTCGCATCTTGCCGCGGCGGGAAACGATGGGAAACGGGAAAAGTCCCACCGGAAAGTGCCGCTTTGAACATGTTTGAAGTTGAAAATGCGGATTTTTTACCATGAAATTGGGGGTTTGTTTCATGTTAACCTATGTTAAGCATGAAAATGCAAGTTGATTGTAGTAAAACTCGATGAAAAGGTGGGGGTCGGTTTTTGCATGGTTGAGGCAGCTCAAAAAACTGTTTGAACATCGCGATCTGGGAGCTAACAATGTTAGCCTAGAAAATATGGGGTAGGTTGATCAGCCTCAATATTCATGATGGATGGATGATGATATGGATAAATATCATGGACATTTTATAATATAGATAAGATACAGCAATCACCCTCCGCCAATCAAAAACATGGCAATGGAGGGTCAGTAAGATGTGATTTACCCTCTGGTAAATTAACATAGACCCTGAAAATCACAAATTTTTAGAGGAAACTAATCTTCCCACAAATTTTTAGAGGAAACTAATCTTCCAACCCCTATCTACCAGGGTCTATGTTAATTTACCAGAGGGTAACAACCCTACATTTCTTAGTTTTCTACCGGATTTCCCAGCTCGTCACGTTGGAAAATCGATGGAAAGCACCCAGCCCAGGGGCCCCGTCAGCCCAGGGGCCCAGTCGTCAGCCCAGGTTCACTTGGAGAGGCTTTTGGGCCGCCATGGCCTCCAATGTCGTTGTGGCGCTCAGGAGGGAAAATTACCCCCAGGGGCTCCCCCTGGAATTGTGACGGAACTTGTGGAAAAATGGTCCCAAGATGACATGAAAAGATTGGTTTTATCCATGAGAGAAGTCGACGTGGGGTGTTTCAGGTGGGAATTGTGAAGCTGGATGCAATGGGTTGCTAACACAGCTTCGCAATGTTCGGTTTGCAATGCTCAGGACTGTGCTGACAAAAATGGCCATGGATAGACACATCTTGGACCCCTTGAATTTCCAAGCTCTCCTTCAGTGCGCGGCTTTCATTGATCCTCAGTTTGCACAGCCGGGTAGGGCCTTCATCAGATGGGGAGATTGAAAAAACACATCAGAGAGAGGGCAATTGAAAACTGAGGTTTCAGTCCCCGTGGCGCTGCTATTCAACTTGCATCTTGCTATATCATGGTCAATTTGAGGATGTTTCCTCGGCGCCGTATTTATGCCGGTTTGGTCCGACCCAAGCACGAACCCAGTTGCATCCATTTGTGTGTGGTGTTTGAACTTTCCGAAGTTTGGGCACCCCAAATCCCCAAAATTTGGTAGAAACGGGAAACTTCGTCTCATCGCGTATGGTTTTTCGTCATTGAAAAACCCGGTCACAGGAGTCAAAACTGCATGTCGCCATGGTTTTTTCGCCATATCAACTTCACCATACTTCCTCCACCAGTCATTTAAACCTCGTGTTTTGATGTGGTATAAACTTTATAAACCCAATGAAAATCCAAAACAGAGCTCCAAATTGGGGATGCTATGGGCCATGGTTGCCCTAGGCATGCAGTGCGGGAGGTTGCTGCTGACACTGCCGCCTGGCCCTCCATCGTGCTGATTGGACCTCTAGCACCTGGGACGGGGAGCAGACCCGGAGATATTTGGAGATATCGAAAACCTATGGAATGGACATCCATCTGAAAACAAGGGAAGTCAACATGTTGAGTGGTTGAGGTTGCCAGGTTTTTCTGAAACCAGCCAATTTGCAGGATCACAACATCTCACAACATCTAACTCCGGTGCTTTCCACTGCACCGGGATACCCTCTGGTAAACAGCCACATAACTATGGAAATTCACCATGTTGAATGGGTAAATCAACTATTTCTATATATTTCTATGGCCATGGGCCATTTTCAGTAGCAAAGTGTAAACGTTTACCAGAGGGTATACCATCATATATCCTAATAAATCCCATTAAATCCCATGGAAAATCACCATTTATATCTGGAGGTTTGGACCTTCAACGTGGCTTCCATCATGGTTTTGGTCCACACCAGCACCGTGGTTCACTCAATGATCCGATCCATGCGCCGGCCGCTGTTGGTGCTGGCATCCATCATCACGTGGCTCGGTGTGGCTGACCAAGATGGTGCCAAATGAGATGCAAATCACCCATGCCAAATGATGCCAAATGTATCCCAAATATTCCAAAAACCATCAAAAACCATCAAAAACCATCAAAAACCATCAAAAACCATCAAAATTCATCAAAAACCATCAAAATCCATCAAAAACCATCAAAAACCATCAAAAACCATCAAAAGCCATCAAAAGCCATCAAAAACCATCAAAAACCATCAAAAACCATCAAAAACCATCAAAAACCATCAAAAACCATCAAAAACCATCAAAAACCTATAGAATTTAACAGGAACTTTGAGAAACCAGGTGCCAGGTTCGGGACATTTCTGGACCATGAAACTTCTCACGTTCGCCCCCATCGGAGCAGATGTTCGTGAGGTTCGGCACTCGCATCACTGCCCTAAATGCCTTGGGTATTCTCTTTACGCTCTGTGGCGCCTTTTGGTACAGATACGAGAGCGAACTGGTGAACAAAAATGGTCACGGCGTGAAGAGAAGTATCACTGAGACAAGGCCCGGGGTCTAGGTTCTGGATGGTTCTGGGAGGTTGGAAGGGTCCAGTGGCTGCTGGTTTTATAAGATGTTCACTGACCGAAATGATCGAAACGCTAGAGAAGGCAACAACAACATGCTGTTAATTCGTTTGTCATACAAATCTGAATCAAATCTGGGGTGCGGCATCAAACATCATCAAACCAAATAGGGCATGATGAATAACCAGTAATCAGCAGGAACAACATTTATTTCACAACCACAGATTCGTATCGGTGTGAAATTCGGTGGCCAGTGGTCAGCAGACTAAATCTGTGCCGAGGCAGCGAACGATTCCATGAGGTCTGAACAGCTGATCCTTTTCCAACATCAATCAGCTGGGATGGCCTGGGTTTCAATTGGTCAATTGGTTGGTGGCTTCAATTGAAGTGATGACATCAATATCATGAAGCCACCAACATATCCAATGTGGATATTCAATATTTAATATTTGATGTCAACATCCCATCACATCAAGTCAATCCACAGATATTCATGATATTCACAGACTTGATGTATCTTGATGTGATGACATTGCGATGGGTGTGTGTTTGTACACCCTTTCTTGAGGTAGTAATCTATATGATGTTGCTATATATTGCTTCTAATCAATATAACTGATGATATAGGTGTTCCCAACATTCCCCAACAGATACAGCCCGTAGTCACAAACATTTGAAGGTGGGTAGACGCCACCAACCATTCAATCTTTTTTGAAGGACTAAACTGGGCAGTTTCACAGCACGGTCGGCTTCGTTGAGGCATCGAGGGCACTTGAAAACCCAAGACATAGGCGGAAGCAGGTGGTATGTTTCACATTGTTTGTAGAGTTTCAACTTTATAATTATAATGATATAGTTTTTTGCACTAATGATACAGAATATATATATATGTATATCTGGTTGGAACATTTTTATTTTCCCCAATAGTTGGGATGATGATCCAATCTGACGAACTCATATTTTTCAGGGGGGTGGCTCAACCACCAACCAGATATATGGCTATGGATCAATACCTATACATACCATTTTTAGGGGAATGAACATCCATTTACCAGCTATTTTGATGTTCACCAGGGGTACAAGGTTTTGACACACTGCCATATAGATATATATATATATATAATATTATGGATTGCATTTTTCCACGAGCACGGTGAACTACAAAAGGACATGAATTTGGACGACCCCTGCAAAGCGGAGTCGTCCCATGAGTCATGCATCTGTACGAAAACGCAGTGCCTAACAAAAACTTCACCTCTTTTCTTGTCAGATCTATCAGTGATAGTTGGTTCATGTTTCTATTTGTTGTTTGAGTGATTTTGCCATGGCATCTGGCATTTTTTTTGTGTGTGACTTCAGTCAAGTCTGAGTCACTTTGCGTGTTTTTTTTCCTCGGGAAACGGGACATGGAAAGTATGGAAAGCCCAAGTCTTGGGTTCTCAGGAAGCTTTCAAACTCTACATTCTTGCGCTACAAAAACGTCCAACATCCCCTGGATGATGTCGGTGGGAATCCCGTGAGGAACTAGATATCAACATCAACTGATCTTTTGAGCCAACCGGGGGTTGGCTCACTGCCAAACAGACATTCAACTGGGGAAACTTGATGAAACTTGATGATTCTCAAGCATGGATCATAGCTAGAAGTGGATGTTCTTTTGGCTTCAGCCACTTTTGTGGCGGCTTGTAGCAGCTTGTGGCATCTGACTAGATGATACTAGATGATGGATGGAAATCTAAGGTCCGTGCGTGATGGAGGCTATGCCTAAGGTATGTTAAGATATTCTGAGTAGTACCCTCCAGTAAACTAACATAGCTATGGAAAATGGACCATTTACCCTCTGGCGATTTAACATAGCCATGGTATAGATGGCCCATAGAAATAGATGGGCCATACCGTTCTTAATAGCATGGGTGGATCTTTCCATGGCTATGTTAGTCATAACCAGATGGTTTGGTTGTCTCTTTTGATGCAGTTCCCTTTCAATCCCTGGCGTTCTTGTGGGTTTGTGCATCTCTGTAGCTGCTTGTCCCTTAGAGAGAAATGCTTTCATGTATGTAGTTCCCTCTGTTGCTGGACATGTGCGAATTCTCTGCCAAAATCAATTTGCACAACTGGCACAACTCACTAAAAATGGCTTGTGAACACCGACTTCCCCACACCATTCATGGCATTTTCCTGCTTCATTTAACCTGCAAAAAAAAAACAAAACCACCAGTCACTGCACCTTTCCCTGCCCTTGTGGCGCCATGCTGTGGTGGATCTTCATTTCCCCAGCGCTCGCGATTCCGGGCGTTGCACCGGCGGAAGAAGCACGTTACCACGGACAGATTTTTGCCTGTCAGGAGGGGCCACTGGGTCTGCAACTCCTGCGGGTTGGAGAAAGTCGGATTTGGGGCCCGAAAGTCATTTGTTGGGGTGGTACATTCCGAACAGAAATTAACAGAATCTCTTTCCAGCCCTCAGAGTTTCATGTGGCACTGGTTGGAACACTGAAAACATAGATGGTTTCACGGTGTTTGTCGGTTAAAGACTCAACGTACTCATACTTGGACAGATGTTTGCACAAATCTTCAATCTTCATCATAGTCTTTCATAAAATAAGTCTATTGTAGCTATAATATGCTATAATTAAGTATAGCTGGAAATAAATGTAGATGAATATAGAAACCGGCACTTCTATAGTTAGTATAGTGACAATTTTCACGACCATATAACCAGTTACAATCAATATCAATCAATATAAGACCATCCACTATATCCCATGATTAATAGTATAATCACTTATAGTAATCCCTAAGCCCGTTCATTTTATATAGAAACACCCCCTAAACGTTTAAAACCTTGGAATTTCCCATATTTTTACGTGGGGAATTTCCATGAAATTCCACCAAGGTCCACCCAGCTTCCCGCCTCCGCGGTGAACGACGACTTCTGCGACTGCGAGGATGGCAGTGACGAGCCGGGCACAGCGGCCTGTGCCAATAGCGACAGGTGCGGATGGAAGGGCCATAAAATCCATGGATTTATAGATGATGCCTCCAGATATAGATGAAATATATAAAAAGGTGAAATCGAGGTAAAAAAAAATCATGGTACTATACCTGGCACATGATGAAAAGATGAAATTCCCATCTAGTTGTAGGTGAAAATTCATTTTCCAGCCAGACGCGTTTGAGTACCGGAGGGTAACCTTCTTGAAATTCATGTTTAAAATGATCTTAAGTTCCAAAATCTCTCTGAAGTGTACAGACGTTTCCGCGGGAATGTTGGCTGGTTTTTTCTAGCCATCCAAGACCAGTTGGAACGAGGTGCAATCCACAATGGCATAACATTTCCTCGAGGGTCACGGGCCACATTCCTGTCAGGTGGTTCTATTGCCCTAACGAGGGTGGAACTGCTCGATACGTCTATGCTTCCAGATGCATGGCTCTTCAACAGGTGGAATATAAAGATATATGGCATGGCATTGCTTTTTTGTGGATCAAGGTTGTATCATAGGAACGCAACAAGTTCAGCCATGTTGAAGTTATTCCCTTAAAAAGGGATTGATATAAATTGATTTATTTATATTATATTTATATATGCCAAAAAAATACCATGATCAATCATATATCAATCATATTTGTCAGACTTTTCCATGGTTTTTTCACTCGGCTGTCCGCCTTTTGGAGTTTGAACCCTTCTCCGAGTGATCACCCCCCCCAGGAGTGGGTGATGGCATTTGCGACTGTTGTGATGGTTCGGATGAATGGCAATACCCCCAGAAGTGTCGGAATCTTTGTGCAGAGCAGGGGCGAGCAAGAAAGGCACCTGCAGCTGCCGTTGGGGGGTACCCGGCCTGGTAAACAGCCACGTAACTGATGGGAAAATCACCATGCTATTAATGGGTAAATCTACTATAAATTATGGTGCATTTTCCATAGCAAACTGTTAGTTTACCAGAGGGTATGGTCTTGGATGATCCTGGATGGACCAGAAATTGAGTGATCGATGATGATACTTGGGGGGTTTGGATGGCCACTTGGAAGCCATAGTTGGCTATAGTGATCACATAGTCAGTGATGTGGTTCTTGTTTGTGGCTGTGGGGGGTTATGACCATTTATGACCTGGCCAAAAGGGTGGTGATTGATGTATCCAGCTTCAAAACAGCCTTTGTTTGCTAGAGGAACCACGAACCGCAGCAGTGTTAGCTAAACCTTGGCGTCTCACATGTTTGACAATGTTTGTCATCATGAAGCCATGTCTCCATAGTTTATCCATGTTTATCCCATTTATCTCATGATGGCTCATAAGTTCCCATGGAATAAATCCAATAGTTGAGAACTGCCACTGATATTTATCCCATATTTATCCCATATCTATCCCATATATTCTATATTTTCCATAGATTTTCCCATATTTATCCCATATATTCTATATTTTCCATAGATTTTCCCATATTTATCCCATATATTTCCCATATTTATCCCATATATTTCCCATATTTATCCCATATATTTCCCATATTTATCCCATATATTTCCAATGTTTATCCCATATATTTCCCATATTTATCCCATATATTTCCAATGTTTATCCCATATATTTCCCATATTTATCCCATATATTCTATATGTTCCATAGATTTTCTATAGATTTTCCTTTTTTTTCCAATTTTGCAGTTCAACGTTTCAGGCGCGGCTGGAGCAGAGGCGCAGCGAGATGCAGCGAGGCATCGAGATGCGCAAGGAAGCCATGGCCTCCATGCAGGCTGAGGTGAGGGAAGATCTTTCATTTTGCCAAGGGTAACTATAGGGACTAATCCCGATTTTTTCCATAGGGAATCCATGATTTATATAATTATAATCCCGATTTTTCTATTTGTATAGGGTATCTATATGGAAAAAATGGAAAATCTATGGAGCATGTAGAATATATGGGATGGAAAATATATGGGAAATATATGGGATATCTAGGGTAACTATAGTAAATATGGGATAACATCCACTACTTTTAGAGGGTATCTACCCTTTGGTTATTTAACAAAGCCATGGGAAATGTCCCATTTATAGATGGTTGATGGGTGGATCTTTCCATGGCTATGTTAAATAACCAGATGGTATATAATTATGGGATAAATAAATAAATATATATATACATACATGGGATACACATGGGGAAATATCCAATATTTATAGGGGAATCTATAGGGAACTTTTTGTGTTTTTCATTTTTTGGGGTCCCTGCAGATCGAAAAAAAATCACCCCGTGGATGGGAAAATCATGGAGATTGTCCCCATCAAACCACTCCATTGAGAAAGTGACAAAGCTGTGAGAAGATGTACCATCTGGTTATGACTAACATAGCCATGGAAAATCCCTTATAAATGGAGGTTTCAAACGCTGGGAAAATCATCTATTTCGATTAGGGCCATCTATACCATGGCTATGTTAGTCATAACCAGAGGGTAGATGGAGAGGGGTGGATGACAATTTCTCATCCACTTCTGAACATCAATTTTGGTAGGTAGGAAACATAGGGGCCGAATCGCACTGATAAAGATGATAAAAACTGAAACAAACCAGATGCAAAGGCCATAACTTAGTGGCCAACCGGGGAAGCCTTAGGGTACCAAAGTTTCATCACAGACAATCATCAAACAAACATGTTTCAGCAACTTCATGCGAAGTTCACCATCTCATACTCTGCCAAAACATATCAAAACCATTCTAGCCACCATGAATCATAGCTCCAGGTGATCTTAAACCACTAACACAGATCATATCGCCATATCAATCCATATCACATATCACCATATCATTATCTCACCATATCATTATCTCACCATATCATAAGGTGCTTCATATGATTTTCATATGATTCCCATATAACAAAACCATCATTTTTGCCGATGTTTCTCTGGTTCTCCCATCCCAAGGCGAAGGAGGCGGAAGCCCAAGTCGCACAGCTGGAAGCTGGGAAGGCTCCGTTGCTGCAGAAGCTGAAGGACTTGGAGGAGATCCAACGCTTGAAACGCGCCGCGGTGACCAAGGAGGCACCGTGACGGCACCGCGGCGACCTAACGGAGATGTGTCGGGTACGTATCGTTCATAGTCTAGTTATGTCTAGTTCTATATAGCCAACTAGTTTTTTAATGGGGTGTATAACCAACCAACAAAAAACTGGGCGGACAGCATTTGGGGATGATATAGGAAAATTGAAGATTGGAGATGGATCTTCATAAAATGACGCTGGGAGACAGAAATAGTGGAAGCTATTGGATGGCATTGCAACCTAACCAGTTGGCACGGGAAGCTAAGACCTCCAAGTTGACACCCTGGGTCCACCCTGGGTCGCACTTTCCTTGAAGGGGAAGTCATAGGATCTTAAGCCAATGGGTTGTTCAATGTGGGGCCCCCAAGATAGCTAAGTTGGTTTATAACTCCAATAACTATGGTTTATGGTACTTATAACTATAGTATTCATGGGGTTTATAAACCAACTAACATCACTGGGGGGCCCCACATTGTTCTCCAATCGGCAGGCACAGGAACTCGGCCGGGATGCATCCCAGTACCAGGAGACTCCCTGCACATCCCATGTGTTTTTCTTGGGGAACATGAAGATCTTGGAGGACGTCATATTTTTTAAGGGTTTGGAGCTGCACCAGCTCAAAGACTTCATGGGTTCAAGGGAAAGTGTACAGCAAACATCAGGTGTCCGGTCATTTTTTCAAGTCAAAATGAATATGGATAATATGGTTGATGGTTGATGATGGTCAATGGTTGGTGGATGATCAATCATGTTTAATCATGGTTAACGGCATTCTTTTCCCTAGAAGATCCTTCAACTAATTCGAGGAAAGGTGATGAACCAAGTTTTGCTGACCGAAAATGACTGACTTTGGAGCTCCACCAGGAGAAGGAGGAGAAGAAAGTCTCAGAGTATGCCAAGTGGATGGAGAAAGGCCCCACAGTTCGATATCAGTTGGGAACTGGAAAATCGTCATGTTCAACTTCGGGAAAGTCATCGACTTCAATTGGGGTCATGGTTTCATATAGTTCTCAAAGTGTTCGTCGTTGTAGGAAGATTGGGAACAGATGTCATCAGATCTCCAGAATTTTCCAGGTGAGGCTCCAAGCAATTCAGCCACGAAGCAGGTGGGGCATGATTCCATCGGGTGGGATCCAGTTGAACCTCCCCGCAACGGGGACTGATGAACCACGCGTGGTGGCCACTCCCAAACTGCCAAAACGGCGCAGGATGAGCTTTGCAGCGGCACGGTTTGCATCTCACGAAAACTTGCAGCACGAAGGGAGGTGAAACAAGTCAAAGTTCGAAGCACCTTGGCTGGGCTGAAAGCCGCTGCTAGTGCACATTCGGTGTGCTTGAACTTGAACATATATATAATTATATTAAAACGTATGGACCGTATGATATTTTGTGGGGATTGGTGTATCATCAACTTAAGCATATTTTACCCTCTGGTAAACTAACATAGCTATTGAAAATTGCCATTTATAGTGGATTTTCCCATTGAACATGGTGGTTTTCGATGGTTATGTTAGTTTATCAGAGGGTAGCTGCCATAATTGCATTGCTGTGGTATTGGCCGGCTTTTTTTGGACAACTCCATCAGGTTTTTTTCGGTAGCAGTGGGTGAGTAGATGATCACCAGATCCCACTGGATGGCATCCTTCCCTACATACTGGGGATAGTAGATGGATGGATTGAACTGCCAACCATTTTTTCCATATATATATATAGTAATGTTTCAGTGGTAATAGGCTACAATATAAATATATATATATATATTGCCTACCTAATCATTACGCAGAAAGATGCATGGAACATCAAAAAAATCTACCGCACAAACCTGGCAACTTCGAGGCGGGGCTTTGATCGACTTCATCGAATTCGTCTACACCGCCGGCGAGCCCTTGAGCGTGGGCGAAGGGAAGGGCGAGGAGCAGGAAGCCTTTGACTTGGAACCCGGCGAGGCGGAAACGGGCAGAGCATGAGGCCATTAAGAATGAAGCCCTTGATTTTCAATGGTTGTTATATATTTAAATGTATGTTTTTTAGATTTATTTACGTGTTTATATATGGGATTAGGACGAATAGTTAGATTCATCACTGGAACTCTGGGTTCAAGGCATTTGCGGCAAAAAACCACTCCACATGTTCGGATCAAGACAAGAAGTGAACTCACCATGTATAAAAAAATCAAGAGCTGAAGTAAGTTAACATTCAAACCTGACATATCTTACCCTATCTCATCCCGTAAACCGATTGGAAGCAGAAAAACTCACATTTCTTCAAAGGATGTGGAATCAGGTCAGTTTGTCATGTGACAATCCAAGTGGATGGCAGCTCTTTTTCCACGTTTCCATCATCCGCCATGGAACCACTGTGCAACTCTGCGGAAAGATGAGGTCAACTCGGGATGTTTTTGGATATGTGCATTGCGATTGATGAGGGGGGACGATGGAAATGTGGTGTTGGAGTGTTGGAGTATTTCAAGTCGCTCATTCTTCGAAGAATTATGACCAGATTCAGTATCAGATACCAGATAATGGACATGGAAGCGCGCAGAGCGGGCATTGAAGGTTGAGGCGGCCTCTATGCCACAGGAGGTCTCTATGCCAAAGGAAGTCTCTAAGCTACATGCAGCTTTCAGGCCACTGCGATTCTGTGATGAAAATGTACCATTGCTGCAGCTGAACGAAGCTCAATTGGTGCCAGTATGGGCCTTGAACAGCTTCCCAAACAGCAAACCTTCCATCGACGACGAACTACTGGAGAAGCTTCTATTTGATCCAACTGCTTTGAGGAAACTGCCACCTCTAGATGCCATACTTCATCACTGTCTGGATGGGCGGTATGCCTGGCGGGGTGTCCAAATCACAAGCGCCTGTGTGTCGTGCTTCGCTGCCTTCAAGCAGTCTATCCCAATGTGATGTTGAAGATGATGTGTGTCGTAGGTGCAGTTGTGGAGACATCCTTTTTAGGCAAATGGGAAGACGGCAACGACGGCCTTGTGACAGTGACACTTGGAAAACGGGTGGATTCTTTTTTTGCCCGTGTGGAGAGGAAAGGCAATCAGATTCGAGATGTCCCTGTGAGGCTTGATAGTCACGGCAGGTCGATGTGTGGAAAGGCACTGCAACGACACGAAATCTCCCAGGACCAGATCGTTTGGCAGCCAGGTGCGGGTTTCGCGAGGTGGGTTTGGTGCCGTACTGAGGAGACATCTTTCGTGCAGGAGCAGCAGGTCATGAGATTTTGTGAAACGCTGCAGCTCATGGAAGCTTCAAAGGAACCAGTTGTTGTGCCAGTGCGGGCCTTGTGCTTCACATGTAACATCAATGGGAAGATGAACTTTAGGCATCGGCGTGGATGTATGACATACATTGCTTGGAAACATCGCAGTACCAGAAGGCGTTGATTGTTTGAAGATGTGAATGAGGATGTTTTGGAGGTCAGGTGTCGCATTGATTCAAAGGGTCCGGAGATCAGTCCTGACAGCTCCTCAGATCTCCTCAGCTCCTCAAGTCCTTGAGCAATTGAGATTCCAGACCCTGAGACCATTCCAGACCTGGTCATTACTGGCCATTCGACCTTTTTTGGATCCGTTGTTTTCCACTCATCGGGCTTTTGATGTGGTGAACTCGTACAATAAAAGCTGGACATCGACAGCATGAATGCAGTCCAATCTTGTCAATATCTGTCAATCATCTTTAGGAGATCATTAAATTAGTGCTCATAGATGGGTTGGTCTGAGAATAGTACGGTACTCGCCGAAATCCCTTGGTTCATCCCTTGGTAAATCATGATCTTCCCATATCTTCCCCATGAAAATGGAGAGAAGTGGAGGCATACTCCATTCTCAGACACACCCAGATAGTCATAGTCCAAGTCATTCTGTGAGGATTCACAGGCCCCGGGACGAAGCCGCTGACAGCTTCTTTGCTGTTGCGAAAAGAGTGGTGAGAGCCCCTGGCCTTCCGGGCCTTCCGGGCCGTGAGTTTTGCATGGCAGCTGAGAAGGGTCCAGTTAGATACAGAGCTCCAATACACGTGGATATATGTGGATTGGGATTTTCTGAAGGTTATGGGTTATTTAGTTTTCCATGGATTAACCCGCCAGCCAGGTATCCATTTGGGGAATCGCTGATTGAATTATGTCAAATATTGTCGTACAAAGCACTCTTCCCTATTACATCCCCATTTTGATCCAAGTTGATCATGGCAGAAAAAAACATCCAATTTCTACCAAATCCCAGTGACGATTCATTGACAATTTGCGACCCAACCCCTTGGCAGGTCATCACAGAATTGCAAGGAGGTCAGGGTGGTTTGCTGGACCGGGTGCAATTCATCACCAGCCGGGGGCGAAAGTCACAGATTTACGGCGGAAGTGGAGGAGAAAATTTCACCTTCAAGGCCACTTTGTGTTGAGTTCATGATGTTTTTGAGCAGCTGATGGTGGGTTTATCGCAATTTTGTTGGGAGACCAAGGTTCTGGAGGGGGGTTCACATTTTCAGGCACAAATCAGGCTGCAGAATCTCTGGTTGCTCAGGTGACGGAAGGCAAGATGATTGTCGGCCTGGACAGAGCTGCACCTGGGCTGATCTCTGAGAAAATTCTGGAAAATGAACTGGCATAAGGGATTATTTAAACAGCACTATGATGCACTATGGGGGTCACCCTCTAATTATGGGGGTGAACCCCTCCTCGGCTTATATCCATAATATGATCATATATATATATATATGCAATATGCAGCATGCAATATAATCTAGATCGTTGTCTCATTTTTGTTGTTTCAGCTATATCAGCCGTACATCCTCGCCGTGATTCGTTCCCTGAAGCCAATCTGAAGCCAGGTGGGTTTGGCGGGAAAAATCACTGGGATCCACGAAGCCTTCTTTCGCGAGCTCACTGAAGCGGAGAAGGCCTTTGATGAAGCCACGATCCGGCTGGAGGAGAACGATGGTGTTGTTTGTTGAAAAAACAAAGTTTCAGAAACATCAAAAAGATTTTAGTGTAAAAAGTGAGTGTTCAATATTCAGTAGTTTGACTCCTTTCGGGTTCACATCTTGATTGAATTGATCCTTTCCCATCTCATGCTTCTGTTTTTTTAAAAAAATATGGGAAAACCAACAAACAATGGGGTACACAGAATAGATCCAACTAAATCTTTGTTTCTCCTATCCGGATCAGGATATATAATCTTAATGATAGACAGTGGGATATATTAGGACATCCTTTTGCCCAAAATTATTGGGATACTAGTATGTCATGACTTTTAGTTTTTTCCCTTTGTATATCATTAGATTATATCCATTAGTCTATGTTGATACATATAAATAGTAGCCTACCAGTTACCAATTGTCATCATTTGTCCATTTACAATCATTTACATCTGAAATATATATATATTGACCATCTATCACCATGACATGTCGGATGTGGTACCTATGAACCCCGAAAAAAAAATCGCAGGACGCTCGCCGCAGCCTGGAAGCCCAAGACGTGCAGCTGACGAAGTTACGGCAGAGCCTGGAGGACGCTATCGGATCACATGCCGCCTACAAGGCCTTGAAGAAATGTGGCGAGGGAACCCTTGGAGAATCCTGGAGGATGATGTTGAATGGATGTGGCTTAAATGGATTTTGCCAAAGAAAACAAGGTGTGTTTGATTTTTAGGTCCTGCAAATGTGTCTTTTTGTCGGGAAAGTCTATGTTTGGCAAGTTTTTGGACGATGAATGGATTTGTTGAATGTGTAGATATTTGTTGATGCTTATTTTCCATACCGTTTCCATGAAGATCAGTTTATGCAGCAGAAACGGGAAATCTGCTGGTCTATGTTTATTTCTGCCGCTTGAAGCAAATCCAAGGAATACAACTACAAGATTTGCCCCTTTGAGGATGCCAAACAGGGGCATGTGCCTTGCCTTCAAACTGTTTTTGGATGTTGTCATGTTTTTCTAAGTCTGGTGGATGTTTTTGGGAACGTGATCGATGTTGATCATGGTTTTCAGGAAATTTACCAAGATCCACCAAGCATGCCGTTTTTTCCCAGCTGATTTCCCAGCTGATTTCCCAAGATCGGATCCACGTAATCTCAGGTCAGCCTTGGTCGGTGGAAGGGTTGGGCCATTGATGCTCCGCATGTGGGCCTTTTCGAGAATGGCGAACGCTGCTTTTCTGGAATCGTGAGATCACTGAAGGTTCAATTTGAGTGTGGTGAAAACTACGTGGTTGAAACTGCCACTTGGATGAGTTGGATGAGTTACTCAAGGGGTTGGTGGACAGGTGGAATTGGACAGTGGGACGCTGCAGTTGAGATTGTGAACATTCCACACTTGGTGGCTCATCCCACGGCTCGTAAGTGGGTTATAACCCCAATTATAAGTGGATTAACTCTACTTATCCCATTTATAACGTAGAGAGATGGTGGCAATCCGATTGAGGGAAGTCTTGGGGCAGTGGATGGTAGATGATGGTAGACATCCCCGGACAGGTATATGGCATCTATGGCATCTATGGCCATCATGTAGGGCAAGGCTCCCAAGTTTTCAATCAGTTGCTTCATCATCATATGAATCATATATGTGATCATATGTGTTTTATCATCAATTTGATCATCACCATCAGGTCCATCAGGTTTTTTTTCCTCACCTGGTTGAGATGCCAGATGTTCATCCAAAATTTCCATGAGATTTCCATGAGATTTCCATGAGATTTTTCGGTTCCAAGCGAGGTGAAAGAGCCCAGTCAGTGCGTCTATGAGGCCACCATGACTCATCCAGCTGCATGTGATCCCAAAGGCCTGGATGGATCCGGTGAGGATCGGATCCTGGGACCACATGAAGCCCATTTGGAGTTGTGAACATGGCACTGCCTGGGGGATCAAACGACATTTTTTGTGAACATCTCTAGAAAGATGTATGAAAGATATGTCTGAAAGGAAAGATGTAGGATATCTCAAGATGTTGGAGATGTACACATTGTACAGCGAAATGATGATTCTTTGGATGGATACACCTTGCAGAGGCCATGATTTGTCTTAAAATGGAGGATCCCACTTTAGAGGCCAAATTTGTCCGGATTTGACTCTCAGTGTTGGTGTAGAAACCAGGCGAGATAAATCAACAAACAAGGCCTAAGGCAATGAACATTTACTGATGACCGAAGGCCCTTCCAGGGGGAAACATCGATTGCTTTCACCTTCCTCCGCTGTTGGAGCCAAGCCCAACCAAAGTTGCAGAAAGCTGCCGGTCAGCTTCGTTTGTTTGACCTGTCGCAGTTAGTTTGAGAGCTTCACCCAAAGACGAGGAAAAAATAAAGGGGAGAGAGAGAGAGATGTTGAGCAAGTGCTTGGAACCATGGACAGGGGATCTTTTTTGTGTGCAAGCCCTAACCCTAATCCATAACAATTACTGGTTGGTGGTTTGGAACATTTTTTATTTTTCCATATATTGGGAATAAAAACCCCAACTGACTAATATTTTTCAGAGGGGTTGAAACCACCAACCAGATTAATATATTGGGCAGCGTTCTTCCTCATCCTTCGCATTGAGCAGAAACATGGATCGTTTGAGGAAACAACACCTACAACTGAAGATATGAGGAGAAAAGGCTGTGTGTTGTTGTTTTTTAGTCTCTGTGAACTGAAGAAGTGAGGAACTGAACTTTCTTTTGCTAGCTTGCTCTTGAGATCACTCCGTTGAAAGTTCGTTGAATGTTATCTCTACTTGTACACTGTCGCTGCAAGCCATTTGACGTCAAGCCCAGCTTCACTAGAGGAACAGTCAACTGGTTGGTGAATAGTCCCCCTAAATCCATGGCAAAGTCAGCTTTCGGGAGGCTGGGCTGGTTTGTGTGTGTAGCGGCGATCCATAGTTGTGTAATATTGTGTAATTGCAGTGGTAGCCAAGTCTTGCTGAAAGGATCCTTGCAATTTTCAAGAATTGAAATCAATCAAGGAAGAAACCGCGTTCAGTGACAGGCATCTTTAGTATCTTCATGTATCTTCCAGTGCAAATGGACGTTGAGATTTGCTGATTTATGGAAGCCGCAGCACAGATTTGGCTCACAAGGCGCCAAGAAATATCCACAAAATCCCACAATTGAAGCCGGGGCGAAGTCCGCGGCCAGCGACGCTTCGGAAGATGTTTGGAAAGTTAACGGAAGGAATGAGCACCGAATACGTCATTCGTGAAGTCCTTTTGGGCATCACCATTTGCTTTGCGCAGATTCCCGAATCAGCTGCTGGATGGATTATAGCATCACAGCCATGAGTTTAGATGGGGAATGATGGGGGAGACACTAGAAAAAGAAGTACTAGAATTTGGCTACCATATGTCATGATAGACTTAGATCCACCATCCCAATCTACCATCCCAATCCACTATAGATACACTATAGATCCACCATACAAATTCATAGATCCACTATAGATACACCATAGATACACCATAAAAAATGTATAAAAAATCACCATCAAAATTCACCCAAATTCACCAAAATTCACCCAAATTCACCTATCAAAAATCCCAGGTTGCCTTCGCCTTCATGGCCAACATCAAGCCCCCCATCGCTCTCCACGCGGCTTGGATCGTGGGTTTCATCTGCAGCGCCTTCGGTGGGCGCCCCGGGATGGTCAACGGCGCCACGGGCGCCTTCGCGGCGATCGTTGGGACCTTCATTCCACCGGCAGGCACCGGAGATTGCCTGGGGGGATGTCCGAAATATGGAAAAAAATAGTAGTTAATAGGCTATGAACCAACAACAATGGGAATATAATGGCTTAATAATGGCTTAATAATGGCTTAATGGCTTAATGATGGTCAATAGTGGTTAATCATGGTCAATAATGGGAGAATATGATACTGGCTGGTGGTTTGGAACATGACTGGATTATGACTTTCCCATCATATTGGGAAGAATCATCATCCCAACTGACGAACTCATATTTTTCAGAGGGGTTGAGACCACCAAACAGATGGACAAAACAGGGTTTGAAACTTGAAAAGTGATACGTTCAATGATGTTGAATCAGTTGAATCATCAGTTGAATCACATTTTTCTTGGGCCATGAGCTTCAAAACGTTCTGAAGGTCCAGTTGCTAGTAGACTTGTTTTCAGCAGTTGGATGTCATGGATTATTTCAACACTGGTTTCAAGTTTCAACCTTCAAAAGCAGTGAAGTCACTAAAAAACCATTCATTTTGTTTCGCCCAATCCCAGCAAACCCATCTGGCAGGCACTGGCAACAATGGTGAGGGTGTTGAATTGCTTTTCCCTTCCGTCATGTTGGCGGGTCTTTTGATGGTGCTGGTCTCCGTGACCAAGCTCTCTCGCTTCATCACTCTGTTGCCCTCGCCAGTGATGCTGGGTTTTTGCAACGGCCTGGCCATTGTCATTGGCTTATCCCAATTGCATCCCTTTGAGGATCATGAAACACACCACTGGAAGGAAGGATCTGAGATGATGTGGATGCTGATCATTTGCTTCACCGCCATGATCATTATGGAGTGTTTGCCCAAGTTGCCCTTCAGGATCTTCAAGGTGGATGTGTCTGAAAAAGGGGAATATAGATCCGGAAATTACAATTGCACAAGGGAAATTCATGATCAACCATGATAAACCCAAGTAAAACCATGATTTGATACATAAACAAACCTATCGGCGTATCGGATTTTGAGGGTAACCTTATCATTTTTCAGCCAACGCCAGGTGATTCCCTCGTCTTTGCTGGCCATCATTTCCGCCATCGTCCTTGAGTTTGCCGTGGTGCGCAACGTTGGCTCGCGCACGGCCACCATCCGAGACGTCTCGGAGTTCACGTTGGACACGGCGTTTCCCATTCCTTTCTTCATCTCCACGGAGGCGGTTACTTGGATTTGAAGGCGGATTTTGGTTCATGACTGGTTGGCAAACCCAATAATAGTGGATATATCAATACCACTAATATCAGATAATAATTATTATGATGGTATCATGAATGTACCCTTTGGCTATTTAACATAGCCATGGAAAGATTCACCCATTTTTAAGAACGGTAAACCATCTATATATGGGCCATCTATACCATGGCTATGTTAGTCATAACCAGGGGGTAGCAAACCCAATAGACCATAAACATCAAAATCATCCAGCGCGGTACAGTAGCTTTATGGCATTTGCTTTACCACCTTCCAATGGGTAAACACCATTTGGATCCATTTGGGGAACAAATCCAGGGAATTTGAGAGTTATAACTTCTAACTATAACTTCTATATGTTCTGTTTCCGTGTTTTTTTTCATATTTTTGGCCTGACTATCTCCCTTCAAGCGCCCAGAGCTTCGCTACATCTGAGGTGAGCTACGACCTCTCCAGCATTCTCACCGCCAATGGCATCTCCAAAATCGTCATCCAAGGCATCTTTTTGTGCCTGGTGGGCTCCATCGAGTCCCTGATGACCGCAGAGGTGGTGGAAAGCTTCACCAAGGAACCAGGGGATGGCAATCGTACGGTGCTGGCCATGGGGGGCGCCAATCTGTTGAGTGGTTTCCTGGGGGGCATGGGAGGAAATGCCATGAGTCTGGATGGAGTTTAGTGATGCACACTTTGATTTTTTGGGTTTGGAGGTTGGATGTGGTTGGATGATGTTGCCGCAATGTTGCCGCTTTGCTTTTCAAGACTGACTTACCACATAAGCCACTCAAAGTTAGCCGGTTGGTGGTTTCAAACATCTTTTCCATAATAATGGGATGTCATCCTTCCCATTGACTTTCATATTTTTCAAGACGGTTGCACCACCAACCAGTTATCAGCATCCACAAAGCACCAAGGATTGGATTGTCCACTGTGAATTGCCTCAATGGTGGAAAGGGACGCTTGGGTCCATGCGTCACGGCCTTGGGAATCATGGCCTGCGTGATGGGTGCCTATCCATTGTTGAATTTCATCCCTGTGGCAGCATTGGCGGGGATCATGCTGGTGGTTGTCTTCCACACCTTCAAGTGGTTCACCATTCCGATGCCCGGATGTGATGATGATGATGATGATGATGATTTTTCTTGGGATTTTGCCATGGGTTAATCCTAAGATATCCTAAGTTGGGGTTGATGGTTTGATTTTCCTGGTGGTGCATTTATATATCATCATATATATATATATCCATATAATTATCCATAGCTTCACCCCTTAACCCACCAGAACTTGGGAATCTATGGGAAGCTACTGGAATTCCGTTTGATGCATCATGGCCCAGGATGATCTTAGCCGCCTTCCTTCCGCGCTCCCTACGCAACAAGCTGAGTTTGCAACGCAAGGTGCCACGCATCGACGCCATTGTCATCATCATCGTGACGATTCTGTGCAAATGGCCTGCGGGAACCAACATTGCCGTGGCTGTGGGTGTTGGGGTGGCCATTTGTTCCATGTCTTATGCCTGGAACTCAGCAGATACTTTTGAGGTCATCGTTAGTGAAGAGGATGGCATGAAGACTTACTTCATCCATGGGCCCTTCTTTTTCACCTCCGCCAATCGTTTCTTGAAGATGTTGAATGCGGATACAGATCCGGATCAGGTGGAAGTGGTGTTTTCGGAAGCCACGTCACTCTTTGACTACTCTGCCATGCAGGCCATGAACAAGATCAGTGCAGAGTACAAATCCAAGGGGAAACAAATCCTCTTCAAGTCCTTATGCTCCAAGAGTACGAAGCTTTTGATGAAGGCCCAGCACTTGATGTCCGAAACCGAATACACCGAGAGAGACATGGAGGTCACTGATCTGAAAGGTGTGGAGTATGGGCTTGGTGACTTACCACAGGGGGGTGAGCTGGGCGACGCCCTTGAAAAGTTCGGAGTGCCGCGGAGCGGCAGCAAGCAGTCCACCATGGTGAACCATGATGATCTCACAGTGGTGGTGGGCAATGAAGTGGATTGCTTGAAGGCACCCACGAAGTCAGTGTCTCGAATGGCCAAGAAGTCGCCGGGCTGCATCATGGTGTGCCCCTGCACTGGTGGGGTATAAGAATGACTTCTCTAGCGCCGAGCCGCTCGAAAACTGATAGGTCCGAAGAATTCGGCATAATTCGGATAGGATCCCCAGAAATGATCCTTGAGATTTCTGGGTCAACTTTATACATATGGTAAAACTGGTAGAATCACACCCATTTGGCGAATGGTAGCCGTCTCACCTGAGCCACAAGGCTCCCCAATAGGCTCCCTCTCCCTCCGAAGTTGAGGTTGAGCATTGACGCCATTCCAGGTGAAAAAAATCATGGAAAGACAGCCTCAAAGTCAGCTGTGAGATACGCATTTCCAACAGTTTGAGGTTACTGCAGGTGCATGTACCTTTAAAGTATTTTAAAGCTGGTTGGTGATTTGGAACATGTTTTATTTTTCCCATCACATTGGGAATTATTCATCATCTCAACTGACGAACTCCATCATTTTTCAGAGGGGTAGGGCTCAACCACCAACCAGAAAGTCATTGATCTGCGAAGGTCAAAGCGACCCATGATAAGGTCCTCACCATCACCTCCAGGCGGAAAAGAGAAACGATTGGAGGTGCCCTGAGAAACGACTGGGGACACCGCCATTTGGTGGCACCTTTGGGAAAATTTCGGGTGCTAATTATGATGTGTGAACCACTGTGATCCTGTGATCCTTTCCCCTGATGTTTTTCATGTGTGCATTTCTTTGTCATCATTTACCCTCTGGTTATTTAACGTAGCTATGGGGAATCACCATTTTTAAGAACGGTAAATCCTCATAAATCCTCTATTTCTATGGGCCATTTTCCATAGCAAACCGTTAAATAACCAAAGGGTAGTTCATGAGGGTCTTCATAAGGGTCGATTCGTCTTGTTGACTGCATATTGTAATATTGAATCACACAACGGTGCTACGGTGTGACACGAGTTGAAAACTGTTGTGCTGCAGCACTATGAGGGATACCCCGCTATCAAAATGAGACGAACCAAGTGCCGCAGCCAAAGTATACCACCTACACAAGGCCCTTGAGCCTTGTGTGAGCTCACATTGAAATTTGTCACCCCAAAAAAATGAGAAGCACCAGGCAAATCTTTGGAAGATGATGTTCTTCGCAGAAACATGTTGAATGAGTTTCTAAATACCCTCTGGTAAACTAACATAGCTATTGAAAATGGCCATAGAAATAGTGGATTTTCCCATTAAAAATGGTGATTTTCCATAGCTATGTTAAATTACCAGAGGGTATATCCAAATATCTTTGAATTTCTGGGCATTTTTCCCAGTCGAAACCTGTCCGGTCCTGCTCCTTTCGGTTTTCAGGAGTCCAGCCGCCCAAAGGCGACGGATCCAGTGATCGGATAGGGCCACAGTGCAAGAACAGCAGATGTCAGACCTGGAACATCCTGGATTTTTTTCTGGGATTTCAATGGTTCAATGGTTTTTCTGTTTGTTCGAAACGAATGCAAAAAGTTTAAACATGTCATTTGCTGCGCTAGTACCCGTGAGGGAATGTGTCTGCTGGTGGTTCTCAGCAAGCTGTGGGCCATGAGACGAATCTGCAAGAATGCATGGCAGGCATGAGACAATAGCTATTTAAAGCAAGATGTAGGAATATGTGTTGCGTACACTGGTAAGATGAAAAATCTGAAAAGCTGGTCGCTCAGTCGCAAAAAGGCCATTTGAGGCCGAACTTAACTTGTACCACCCTGGCAAAATGACCCGCATGTGGTCCCTGTCGGCTACTCTTGATCAATTGTGGATTTAGCCAGCCATGTCTGTACCTCTGCTACATGCTTCTATGGTGGAGAGACTGGGCTGGTTTTGTTTTGGGCTTGGCGATGGCTTGTTGCATTGTTGGGTGGGTTGTAGGTAGCCCATGGTGATCAAGTCCTGCCCAGAAGACCCTTGATGATCCGTGCAAGTTTGAACAACCAAAGAAGAAACCATGTCAAGTGACGGGTGTCTTTGGTATCTTAAGTGGTGCGAATGGACATTGACATCTGGTGATTTAAGGAACCAATTCTCAGAGAGCATGAGCCCAAAAACTATGAAAATCAAGAATTAAAGGACCGGATAACCCCACAAGTCAACTTCTTCCAATAATGAGCATCAAAGGTTGTAGCAGGGACGGGGAAGGAAGGAAAGGGAAAGGAGGCGGTGAAGGATCGAGAAGTTAAAACAGTTGTGTGTGACAAAGTGGAATGTGAAAGATGGTGTGTGTGAAAGTTATGTGTGAAAGAAAGCGTGTGACAAAGTTGTGTGTGAAAGATGGTGTGTGACAAAGTGGTGTGTCAAAGATGGTGTGGCGAAAGATGGTGTGTGACAAAGTTGTGTGTGAAGGATGGTGTGGTGAAAGATGGTGTGTGACAAAGTGGTGGGTGAAAGATGGTGTGTGAAAGATGGTGTGTGACAAAGTTGTGTGTGAAAAATGGTGTGGTGAAAGATGGTGTGTGGAAGATGGTGTGGTGAAAGAAGGTGTGTGACAAAGTGGTGTGTGACAAAGCGGTGTGTGAAACATGGTGTGTCAAAGATGGTGTTTGACAAAGTTGGGTGTAAAAGATGGTGTGTGAAAGATGGTGTGTTACAAAGATGGTGTGTAAACGAGGGTGTGTCAAAGATGGTGTGTGACAAAGTGGTGTGTGAAAGATAGTGTGTGTGTGACAAAGTTGTGTGTGAAAGATGGTGTGTCAAAGATGGTGGGTGACAAAGTGGTGTGTGAAAGATGGTGTGTGACAAAGTGGTGTGTGAAAGAGGGTGTGTCAAAGATGGTGCCACGCCTGCCACGCAAAACCAAGGTGGATGTGAGATTGTGCCACGCCTGCCACGTGAAACGAAGGTGGATGTCACCAAGTGCCACGCCTGCCACGCAAAGTGCCGCGGCGTCTCGCGCGACTAAACCGGGCCCAAGCACGCCACCCAGTGCCATGAGTGCCACGCCTGCCACGCAAAACCAAGGTGGACGTGAGATCGTGCCACGCCTGCCACGTGAAACGAAGGTGGATGTCACCAAGTGCCATGCCTGCCACGCAAAGTGCCGCGGCGTCACGCGCGACTAAACCGGGCCCAAGCACGCCACCCAGTGCCATGAGTGCCACGCCTGCCACGCAAAACCAAGGTGGACGTGAGATTGTGCCACGCCTGCCACGTGAAACGAAGGTGGATGTCACCAAGTGCCATGCTTGCCACGCAAAGTGCCGCGGCGTCACGCGCGACTAAACCGGGCCCAAGGGCGCCACCCAGTGCCATGAGTGCCGCGCCTGCCACGCAAAACCAAGGTGGATGTGAGATTGTGCCACGCCTGCATCGTGAAACGAAGGTGGATGTCACCAAGTGCTGCCACGCAAAGTGCCGCGGCGTCACGCGCAACTAAACCGCCACCCAGTGCCATGAGTGCCACGCCTGCCACGCAAAACCAAGGTGGATGTGAGATTGTGCCACGTCTGCCACGCAAAACGAAGGTGGATGTGAGAATGTGAAAGATGGTATGTGACGTTATTGTATGTGAGAGATGGTATGTGACAAAGTTGTGTGTTAAGTTTGTGTGTGTGTGTGAAGTATTGTATGTGAGAGATGGTATGTGACGAAGCTGTGTGTTAAGTTTGTGTTGGTGAAGTTATTAAATGTGAGAGATGGTATGCGATGTTATTGTATGTGAGAGATGGTATGTGACAAAGTTGTGTGTTAAGTTTGTGTGTGTGAAGTATTGTATGTGAGAGATGGTATGTGACGAATTGTGACGAAGTTGTGTGTTAAGTTTGTGTTGGTGAAGTTATTGTATGTGAGAGATGGTATGCGACGTTATTGTATGTGAGAGATGGTATGTGACAAAGTTGTGTGTTAAGTTTGTGTGTGTGTGAAATTATTGTATGTGAGAGATGGTATGTGACGAAGTTGGGTGTTAAGTTTGTGTTGGTGAAGCTATTGTGTGTGTGTGAATGTGTGGAGGCGGGAGGCGGAGGCGGAGGCGGGGAAGCGACCCGGGATACAGAATCAAAAACAAGAACCCCACACAAAGTTGTGGGGAATTATGGAAACACCATGCTTATGGGACAAGATTTCAAAGTCCTTTGCGGAAGCTATGTAACCTGCCAGTCAACCATGCATGGTTGATCAGGAATTTGCAGAAGAAGCTTGTGCAGAAAGACAAGGAGATTGCTGAGACGAATGGGAGAGAGAATCACAAGGCCTCGTTGATCAGGGATTTGCAGAAGCAGCTTGCGCACAAACAGCAGGAGACCGCTGACACGATTGAGCGAGAGAATCAGAAAGCTGTGACAATCAGAGAATTGCGGAAGGAGCTTGCACAGAAAGAGAAGGACATTGTTGAGACGAATGAGAGAGAGAATCACAATGTCTTGCTGATCAGGGATTTGCAGGAGAAGCTGGCACAGAAAGAGAAGGAGGTTGCCGTTGACACGAATGAGAGGTTGGTCCAAGGATCTGGGACTTGTTTCGTTTGGCTAAGTCTGAGCACCCGCCTTCACCCTATTTCCAATCTGTGCTCAGTCTCTTCCTCTTCAAGGGAAAATCCCAATGCCTTGTTGATCAGGGATTTGCAGGAGAAGCTTGCGCAGAAAGACAAGGAGATTGCTGAGACGAATGAGAGAGAGAATCACAAGGCCTCCTTGATCAGGGATTTGCAGAAGCAGCTTGCGCACAAAAAGAAGGAGGCTGCTGACACGATTGAGCGAGAGAATCAGAAAGCTGTGATGATCAGGGAATTGCGGAAGGAGCTTGCATGGGAAAAGAATGAGCATGCAGCGTTGGTCAGGGATTTCGAGAAAGGCAATGATGAGCTCGCACAGCGAATTCATTTACAGCCGCAGGTTGATGGGGAGACTTGGCAATTTCGAGGTGACAGCAGAGAGTGGATCTCGTTCCCCGCCTCTTTGAACGTGTTCATCATGTTTTCTTCTTTGTTGCCTTTTCCCGAATATGGTACTGCGGGAGCCAGAGGTCTTTTATGTTGCTTTGATTTTGTTTTCACGTGAGCAAAGGACTGTCCGAACAAAGAACTCATGGCCAAATTTCGAGAAGGCCATGAGTGTTTCAAGATTGTCATAGATGGTAGAACCTACGAAATCGACTTCAACAAGTTCTCCCAGAAGAACGTGCGCACCAAAAAGGAGCGAGAGATCCGCTGCTTCGTCGACCTTCCAAGCCATTGGCAAATGACCACCGAAGATGCGTTGAAGTCGAAGTTTCTCAAGGATAGTCTGCAGATACCACCTCTCAATTCTAGTTTTCTGCAGCAACCGCCGGCTGCCGCTGGGGTGCTCCCCCCACAGAGATCTCCCAACTTTGTGCAGCTGCATGCAGTGACTGATCAAGATATGAAGTCAAAAGTAGCAAACCTGCTGAACAGATCACTTTCCCGCAATGATGGAAGCCATTGCGGCTGCCTTCATGGAAGCTCAAATTTTGTTGTCGCAGAAGCTTACCAGGTCAACAATCTTCATTTGTGGCGACGGTACCAACGATGTGTGAGATCCATTCAGGACAAACATAAGCTGCATGGAATCTTCCCTGAAAGCATCAGTCCGTCAGTGGGCAAAGCCTTGACTGAGTTTGCCCGGGATCTCACTGTTGACCTCGCTGGCAATGAGCGGCTTCTGTTGCATGGAACTCGAGATTTTGATCTTGCGAGAGCCATTGCAACAGAAGGTTTCGACAATCGGGTGGCTCGGGATGGCCTTTTCGGAAGGGGAACCTACTTCGCAGCCCAGACCTGCAAGAGCGCTCAGTATGCCACTGAAGATGGGTGGAAGAAGATAGCATCACCGCAGATGGTGGGAACAATGCTCATTGCCCGTGTGGCAATCGGGGACCCTTTCTACACACCAGAGCCATGTCCTGCAGACTTGTCAAGTACCTTGGCCAAAACCGATCGGATCGTTTTTTGAGATGAGTCACTCTTGCATGTTGCCCCGGAAGAAATGCAGGGGGTGCACAGTGTGGTGTCATCCTTTTTGATTGACTTAATGACTTAATTCTTTCAAATGTTTGGCGGACAAGAGCAAAGCAACCAAGGACCTCCAGAGAAGAATGGTGTGCGCGCTGACTCCATAATTGCACGACCTGGCATTCCGAATGGTCAGCCTGCTGGAGTCCAGAGCCACATGGAGGTTGTGACCTTTGACCCGGGACAGGCCTATCCCGAGTTCATCGTCAGGTTTACGGAGGAGTGAGCACAGGGAACATGAAATCTCCTCAGGAAATCAAAGCACTCGATCAAAAATTGATGTATTCAGTGCTTTCAGTTGAATCCCCGCAGCAGATCGCTGGAGGGTTGTACAGGTAGCCACTAGCCACTTTTCTCAGATTGTAAAGTAGACCTTCCAGACCGCTTGAGTCAGGCAAGGATTTAAACAAATTGCATGCGCGATATTTGCGCGAGTTGTCACTAGGGAGTTGAATTGATTGAATTCTTATTGGGTCTTCGGTCTGTCTAGGCATGCACCAGACTTGCCTTGCAGGGAATCCTGCGCCTGGAACTGGTTCAAGTGCAGCATGTTGGATCATTTCGGCAAGAATTCCTGGACCGAATGGCTTCGATTTAGATCGATACATACCTGTGAACTCCATTTGACCCAAGATTTGCGTCTGAATCAGAATAGTAGACTATTGACGTGTCGGGCTGAAAAAAAGACTGCAGAGCAGAATAGCCATTCAGGCGAGATTCTGCCCCTTTGCACCTGTTAGGATTTGTTAGGATCATGTTAAGAGTTCTTCGTTTGACCTACAAATTTGGTAACCAGAACTTGAATTTCGTGCATGCAATTCAGACCATGTTCAACATCAATTCGGGCGAATTTCAAAGACTTCATGAAAATTATAATTCGGGCGAGAATACCCGAGGAGCAAGTTTGAGGTCTTGAAAATTTCAGTCCACTTTTGCAAATGCTTCAGGCCAAACTCAAAGCCTTTTGGCATTTCGTGTTCATAATTCTGTGATTTCTGGGTGCTATCTGCTTGAGTTGTGAATAACCCCCAAAGAAAAAAAATACTTGGGCGAGAATTCAGCCCTCAGGCGAGAATTTCACATTCGGTCCAAAAAACAGTTGGTGGCTTCTCAGTTGAACCCCCCGTCGCAGATCGCTGGAGAACTGTAGCCCCATATGGGATACAGGCTACAGTATATATAAACCTTCCAGACGACTTGAGTCAGGCAAAGGTGTTCACACATTGCATGTGCGATATTTGTGCAAGTTGTCATCCGGGCTGAGTTCGTATTGGGTCTTTGTGGAGGAGGCTGCCTAGGCATGACATCGCCAGGCTTCCCTTGACATCCTGGAAATCTTGTGCCTGGAAAGGGTTCCAATGCAGCATTTTGGATCGTTTTGGCAGATTTGCTTGACCTTTGCCAATCATTCCATCAATAGACAGCAGATTAATTTTGGAACCTTCCATTTGGCAACCCAAAAAGACCACCCCACCAGGTCCCACCACCCAGAAATAGCGATTCATTACAACTGAGCCACTGAGCCAAAGCAACTTCATGCCATGGAATTCCAACATGGAAGCTCCAAACATCAGGATTTTTAGCAGAACATCACATCGGAAACTGCCACTTTGGGGTGCCACCTGGCATATATTGAGGGGCAGATGGGGCAGTGACATTGAAAATGCGCCGGCCAAGCGCTTTCCTTCGGCCGAGCTCTCCATCAACCAGGCGCATCAAGGGACCCAGGCCAACCCCAGGTGTCGTTAAAAGGATTTCAGGTCCCTTCTTCGCCAGCATCTCACCTCCAGGCAGTGCAAAGAAGTTGAGGTGCTCTGGGAGTGCTGGCACATTTCGGATCCTTTTGGAGTATCCTCTGTGATCCTTACTCGTGCTGGTTCATTTCATCTTTTGTGCATTTGTTCAGACCAGGCTCTGCTGGAATGCCGGATGAGGGCGTCATGTCATCATTGATGAAAATGGTGATTTTCACTAGGTTGCCAAGAAATATGAAAACACCCCAACGTGTGAGGGCCCTTTGCCCCTAACCCCAGTGTGAGCCTTTGCCACTTCAAGCCACTTGTGACACTGTCATCCTTCTCTAATTTTGAAATGAAAGCGAAAGCTCCTGCAATTGCTGTGAAGATGATATTCTTCATGCAAAAAGTTAAAAGTTAATTGGATATTTAGAATTATGTAGTATTATTTCCTTTGTTTCCATATTTGGTAGGTTGAACGCATGCTTCCAACCCCGAAACATGATCAATTCTTTAAAACTTCCCGAGGTAAAGGCGCCCAGTCAGCGCGTCCATGAGGCCACCATTTGGAGTTCTGAGACAAGTGAAGGTCATAAGATCTCTATGCGCTCGTAAAGGTTTGAGTTGTGAACCCTCCAAGAAATCACATGTTTTAAGATGGGGTCATCATGGGGCATCATCCTACAGAGCCAGTTTTTTGAGGGATTCCGTGTTAGATGCCAAGTTTCTCGGGATTTGATGCTCAACTACGGCGTCGAAACCGGCCAGATATAAGATGCATTTTAACAATGGACAAGGCTAAACAAAAAAAATACGTTACTTCGTGTGATCCCCACCATGAGATTTATACATTTTCTTACTGGCAAATCTTCTGGCATTCTATCTGACATATCTTCTGGCATTCTATCTGGCATATCTTCTGGCATATGTTCTGGCATTCTATCTGGCAAATCTTCTGGCATTCTATCTGGCATATCTTCTGGCATTCTATCTGGCATATCTTCTGGCATCTATCTGGCATATTCTCTTCTGGCATCTATCTTCTGGGCATTCTGGCATTCTATGGCATATCTTCTGGCATATATTCTGACATATCTTCTGGCATTCTATCTGGCATATCTTCTGGCATATCTTCTGGCATATCTTCTGGCATTCTGGCATATCTTCTGGCATATCTGGCATATCTTCTGCATATCTTCTGGCATATCTCTATCTGGCATTCTATCTGCACATATCTTCTGGCATAACATATCTGGCATTCTATCTGGCATATCTTCTGGCATCTTCTGGCATATCTTCTGGCATATCTTCTGGCATTCTATCTGGCATATCTTCTGGCTTCTGGCAAATCTTCATTCTATCTGGCATATCTTCTGGCATATTCTGACATTTTATCTGGCATTCTATCTCGCATACCTTCTGGCATTCTATCTGGCATATCTTCTGGCATTCTTCTGGATATCTTCTGGCATTCTATCTGGCATATCTTCTGGCATATCTTCTGGCATTCTATCTGACATTCTATCTGGCATATCTTCTGGCATTCTATCTGGCATATCTTCTGGCGTATGTTCTGGCATATCTTCTGGCATTCTATCTTGCATATCTTCTGGAATATCTTCTGGCATTCTATCTGGCATATCTTCTGGCATTCTATCTGGCATATCTTCTGGCATTCTATCTGACATTCTATCTGGCATATCTTCTGGCATTCTATCTGGCCGTTGAGGTCCAGCGGTGCACACTGAGCTGGGCAGGTCCCAGGTTGAGGTCCAGCGGTGCACACTGAGCTGGGAAGGTCCCCGGTTGAGTTCCAGCGGTGTACGCTGAGCTGGGCAGGTCCCAGGCTGGGAAGGTCCCCGGTTGAGGTCCAGCGGTGCACACTGAGCTGGGCAGGTCCCAGGTTGAGGTCCAGCGGTGCACACTGAGCTGGGAAGGTCCCAGGTTGAGGTCCAGCGGTGCACACTGAGCTGGGAAGTTGGCAAAGAGCTTGGCGAAGAGAGTTGGCAAAGAGCTTGGCGAAGAGTTGGCAAGGCGGAAGTGCAGGTGGAAGTTGATGCAGACATGGTCGAGGAGGAGAAACTGGAGGAGGAGGACGAGGAGGACGGGAGGAGGACAGCTAGCCGAGGAGGAGGAGGAGAACAAACTGTGATAAAATCTAACAACCCTCACCTGGCAGGTGGGGAACAAATGAACTGATGACCTTTGAAGTGAAGAAGCATTGATTGTTTTCATGTCGCGTTTTCCTGGAGCAATGCCCAACAAGCGACTAGTCAGCTGAGTCAACTGCCTTTGTTTGACCTGGCGCCTTTAGTTTTAAGAGATTTACCCTAAGGGTAGAAATTGACGGCCAAAATGTACAAGAAGCGCTTGGCATCGAGGGCAGGGGGTGTCATTGAGGCAGTCACTGAAGATTCTGGAGAGTTTAGCATCAACGCTGGGCCATGATAGTCCAATAGTAAGAATGGAAGGCTCTACGCTGAGGCTGTGTGTTTCCTTATCGTGCCTGGCAAGACGTAGAATAGAAACACGGGCCTTTGCAGGAAACAGTGCCTACAACACGGAAATGCTTTACTTTTGTTTTGTGCTACTGTAGCTTGCTTTGTTGAAAACTCAGTCCACATGCCCATATCACTTTAAGAATACGGTTGCTGCAAGCCATTTGACGCCAAGTCCATCTTCAATAGGGGCACATTCATGAAGAATCCACAGGTTGATGAATAGTCCTCAAACTGAAGGGCGCGTCGGATTTTGAAGACAGAGACATTTCTGATATGGCAAACAACCTTCGATATACAATGATCATGGAGGACGCATGTGTTTTTCCAGTTTTTCAAGCGCCATGCTTCCATCTCTAAAAGCGTCCATGGTGACGGAGTCAGCCAGATTTCTGAGACTTGGCCGGTTTTAGTCTTGCTTGGCCAGGTATTTTTCCGTTGTTGTAGAGTCCGTATGCCTTTAGGTGGGATTATGTGGAATTATGGTTTGGTTTGATGGCAGTGGATGGCAGTGGTTGTTGGACCAAAGGGGCCTTGCAATGTTAGTGGGCGAGGGAAAGGTACAGGATGATTTGTTTGACGGGATGATGGTTTCCTTTTCACCATATATTATGTAGATGATTCCATAACCATATTCTTTCAAAAAAAAAGCTTATATTGAGAGTCCTCCGCCAAGGTATGTACGCGCACAGGTCGGCATCATGGTAGGAATCCCTTGCCCCACTTAAGGCATTGAGAAGGACATTTCTTTGCAACGCACAGTTTGAACTCATGTTCAAACAACTTTGTCGATGTGCTGTTTCTGTTGTATTTCCTCACCCCATCCTGTTTCAACATCAAAGCAACCGTCATGCCTCTGAAGCAGGGGTCATTGTTGAACAGTACCCTGGCCTGTATCCTGGTACCAATTAAGTTGGTTGGCGGGAACTAGTTGACATTGCATGTCAAAATATGTCAAAATATGTTTAATGGAATTCCCTGGAAAATACCACGGTTGGTTTGCAAATGGCATGCAATGAGCGACTTGGTTTTCAGCCTTGGCTGTCAGACAAGGTTCTTGGTGTCAGGAAACAGTCCAATCAAAATGCAAGAATGGAATGCCTCACTTCCAAAGCAAGTGCTAGGGGAAACAGTCTTAGACTAATTATATAAGCTTGGGTTGCGTCTTTTAAATGCCTATACCTACAGGTTCAAAGGAGCATAAATAAACTCTCGAGGAAACATATGCGTGTTTATGAAAAGTGCTCGTTTGCAATGCCGCGAAAAAAAGTGCTACGAACCAACCCTTCAAACTCCAGCCATCTCAGTCATGGACATGGGCGTGAATACCTACACTAGCGCGGGCACTCACATTTCCTGGGTTGCATCAAGATTGTCACCACTGCCCTGTGGTTGTGCAGTTTATGTCCTGAAAGTGTGCCCAGGAGATAATCCACGTGCATTCGGCGGGTCTTCATCAGGTTCTTGCGCAACGGGTGAATTCTGAAGAGCACACACTTTAACTTTGCGCTCGTTTGCGGATATTTACGCTCGTTTGCGGGTATTTGCGCTGGTTGCTGCGGGTTGATTTTCCGTAGTCACAACCATGGAATTCAGAAGTAGCTACACAATTCTCTGAAACAGTTAATTTGGTCGCACAATCGCAAGAAATTCCCATCCTGAACACCTGCATGGCTGATTAATTTCATACTAGGTTATCTAGCTGCCTCAATGACCGCACTTGTTGACGTCCAATTCATCCGAAATGAATCGCAAGAGAAAACTGAGCCAAACGGTTATAGGTTGCAAAAAATGCGCGTTTAAAACAAGTGCTCGTTTCACCCGTATTTGTTCGTTTTGCTGAAATACGCGCGTTTGAGCTCATATCATGAAGGTGCAAATATATTTGCCCGTTTGAAGGCCCAGGCATTATAGCTCCACAAAACGATCCATGATATTGTCAGCCGCCAAGGATTGCTTCACTTTTGCTTGGGCTTCTTGGCGTGCTCCTTGGCAGTATGAGACCGCTGCGACCTGTACGGGGTCAACCCACCATCCTTTCCTTTGCATAGCTGGATCTATACAACTGGTGTGAGCTATGGCCAGCTGAGGTTTGCCTTTTTTGCGCACTACGAAGCTTGGCGGTTGGATCCGGGCCGCAGAATGTAGACAAAAGCCGGAGATATGTATAAGTTTCGTTGAATGCTGCGCCGATAGGAAAATAGTAAAGGAGTGGACAGTGGCCAATCGACTTGTGGACTCCTACGTGGTCCTACATGCATGAGCCAGCCGTTCCTTTCACTTTCAAGTTTCAGAACCCTAAACTCGGAAACTGTTTCCTCAGAAATTGGCACCTCTTTCAGAAAAGATTTGGAACATCCACTCTCTTGGGGGAAGCTATACTCATATGATTTGCATTGAACCTTGTGACAATTTGGGACTCAGCGTTTGGCTCAGGAGAAGAATATCAAGCCTCTTCAGAGGCACTTGCTCGAGGTCAAGGCGTGCTGGTTGGCGAAAGTCTTCACGTTTTGTTTGCCCCATTATCCTCTTCACAAGCGGAATGAAATTTTGACTGGGACTGCGAAAAAGCATCCCTTAAGGCCGACGCCAAAGAAAAGATTGCGCAGAATCAAATGATCAAGGATTTGAAGAAGCAGCTTGAGCAGAAAGAGATTGAAAACGCTTCCCTCATCAAGGCCAATGAAGAGATTGCGCAGAAAGAGAACGAAAAGGCTTTGTTGGTCAGGGATTTGCAAAACCAGCTTGAGCAGAAAGGGAACGAAAATTCCTCCCTCATCAAGGCCAAAGAAGAGATTGCGCAGAAGGAGAACGAAAAGGCTTTGTTGGTCAGGGATTTGCAGAAGCAGCTTGCACGGACGGAGAAGGAGTTTGTGCAGAAAGCGAATGAACATGCCTCATTGGTCAGGGACTTCGAGATCAGGACGCATGTTTTTGACAGTCTTTCAATCGCAATGCTTGCATCTCTAAAAGAGTCCATGGTGACGGAGTCAGCCGGATTTCTGAGACTTGGCCGGTTTTGGTCTTGCTTGGCCAGGTATTCTTCCATTCTTGAGATCCTGGTTTTTTTGTAAGGAGTTAACATAGTTAGAATCAGTTATGTTCATTTATCAACTAGTTACAACTATGTGTTAACAATTTACAACTAGGTCCTAACTATGTACAACTAGTGGTAATTTTTAACATAAGTTAAATTATTAATTTTTTGATGAAATTATGTAACTAACTTAACTCAAGTTAACTCTGTATAATTTTCCAGATCTGTTTAGAGCTTGATTTGAACCATTCTCAATTACCAAGAATGTTTATTTGCTTCCATAATATTTACATTGACCATATATTTGCATACCAAAAGAAAAAAAAGCACCATTAAAAAAATTTGTTTTTTTCCCTCATGAATTGAGAATTTGTTTCCCCAGAAATATCTTTGTTTTGCAAATTATCAAAAACAATTTCTCCTTTTGGATGAACATGCAAAAGCTTGTCAAAGCAAAAATGCTTGTTTTATGCGCAATCTCCATGACATGTGACAACCCACAAAAGCCATGTTTTGGCCACATCTTTTGCCACATGTTTCTGTGGGCATGCATTGGCCCAATATTTTTTTGAATGAGGATTTGCCAACCCAAGGGAACCAGCAAGTTGCAGCCAGCCATGGTGGACATCACCTTCTGCTGCCAAATCAAGTACCAAGAGGACAAACCAGTGACCATTGCTTCAGACCTGGTTGAAGAGCACCAAGGCCAAAAATTCTTGAAGTTCAGAGCCACCAACTACTCCATTTGCCAATTGGTATGTGGTGGCAAGCTGCCCAAGAACCCCAGTTTGTCCAAGAGCAAGGAATTGCAAGCTTTGATCCAAGCCAGGAATGAGAAGATCCAAGAATATTTAGCAGCACCAGAAGATCCCCAAGAAGGCCAAGAATTGTTTGTTGAACAGAAGCCAAGCACCAAGAAAAGAAAAGCCAATACCATGGAAGAACTTGGCAACTTTGTGGTAACCATCCAGTTGGGTTCCACTGAGATTCCATGCTTGGCTGGTGGCCAAAGGCCTTCCAAGTGGGATTTGTATGTTGCCATGGAGCCAGAGCCATTGAGGCAAGTCATTGGCCATTTGAGAGCTGGCTGCCAAGCTGCATTGCAGGAACCCACCAGGGGTTACAAAGGCACAAGGAAAGACTTATTATAAGCCACAGGTGACCATAGCAGGGATGGCCAAAAAAATGCAAGTTGCAGCAAACAATTGCAAAAGCCACTGTTTGGCCTATATAGTCACAATGCCTATCATTACAAAAAGCCTTTCTATGGCCATGATCATTAGCAGTAATGGTCATCAAAACCCATGATGAAGAACAACAGCCAATCCACAGTTTCTATATGTCTATCACATGTTTGGTCGATGCTTTTGAAGGCTGCTGCTGCTCTGGCCTAAAAGACCAGCATTCAGCCCAGTTGCACCATTAGCACATGCCTTTGTAGAAACAATTTTGACAGGGGTTGCCAAGCCTTTCCTGCAACCAGCCATGGTGGACAAAGTGGCTGCCCAAGTGAAAGCCATGATGGATGGCCCCTTGACCATCAACCAGAAAGTAAACCAGGTCATTGACCTGTTGGAAGCCCATGGGTTGGCCCACAAAGTGGTCCTCAGACCATCACAGATTCTATGCCACCCTGACAACAGGGGTGGGACCATGGTAAGCTACCATGATGCTTGGAGCAAGGGCATGGCCATGCTGGCTGTTGGAATCCAGACCAACCTTTTGCAGGGTTCCATGGCCATAGAGATGTCCAAAGATGAAGCCAAAAGAAAGGTCCAGATATCCAAGAATGAGCAATTGTTCCAGGAAGGCATTGGGCACCTTGCACCTCTCACTGGCCAGGAACGTTCCTTGGTTTTTACAAATGACCCATATGAAGCCACCATGCTGAAGCTTTCACAAAGACAGCCCCACTGCACATACTGATTCCCAATGTTTTGGTAATGTAGTTGTTGATTCAGTGACCATTGCACTTCCTAGGTTATTTGTCTTTGAGTGCCAGCCACACTGTGACCTTCTTGAGAGCTCTGGAACACCATTGTGTTGGACCAGCTGGAACCCAACCTGATGTTCCCAAGAATGACCCATGTTGGAAGTGCATTACAGAGGGATGGGGCTGGGTGGTGCTGTCCAGTGAGATTGAAGACCACATCCCAGCTTTTCCCAGTTGGTTGCAAATGGCCATGAACTCTTCCAATTCAATTGGAAGACCACAGACTGAGCTGGAGTTGGCCACCACCATGGCTACATTCTTCCAGAATGGCATGGGCCTCCATGAAGCCATTGCAAAGGCCAAGCAAGGAGACATCAAATGCCAACAGAGCCTCCCAGCTGTTGCCCACTATGTCCAAAGATTTGCTGGTGGGCCAAACTTCCCATTGGTTCATTTCTTGGGCAAATTTGGCAAGCAGTTTGGTGGCACCTTGCTATTGGGAGGTGACTTTTTCCATGCTTTGGCACACACTGATTTCAAAGTCAGTGGCCAAATCTTTCCCATGGTGAGAATGGGTATTTGGGCCACCATGCTGACCAACCCACAAAAATCTCAAGATGGGTTTGCCAAAGTGTTTAGCAAGGCTGACATTGAGAAACTCAAAGGCCATGGGTGCATTGAGAAGACCAAGGAAGCTGAGACCATGTTGACCAAAGCTTGGGAAACATACTTGCAGATGGTGTCCACCAATAGCAAGATGGAGCTCCACTACACCAAGTGCTTTGGAAAGTTTACAGTGAGGCTTATGTTTTTCCTCACTCAGAAGCAAAAGATGTCCAAGGAAACCAAGTCATGGGACTCCATGCATGACATTTTAGCAGCCTTCACCCAAGAGGTCCAGGACCCACCTACTTCATCTTCTACTGGCACAGAGGAGCCAGCCACAGCAGAGGCTTTGGAGGTGAAAGACATTCTGAAAGCCAGCCCCAAAGAGGTTGCCCAGCTCCAAAACCACCACATGAAGATTGGAACATTGCACCTTGGGATTTCAATTGGTAAGTTTTTTTTTTGTTTTTATTCTTTTGCTATATTTCTTTTCTTTGGCCATATTGTTGCCTGGCTCAGGTATATGAATTACAAAGAGCATGGCACCAAAATTTACCAGCTCAAAAGCATTGGTGACCAGCATGCCACCTTTGAACACACTGGGCTCTTTGAGCAGCCAGAATCCATGGAAGTGGCCCATGAAGATTTGAAGAAATGGAAAGCCACCAAGGCTTTGATGCCCAAGCTGTGCCCATCCCAGTATTGCAGCATTGCTGTGTCCATGGCACACCCAAGCATTGAGCAAGACTTCCAGAAGCACCAGGTGGCTTTGGCACTGCACCAAGCTGCCCAGACCCATGCCATGTCTGAGAAACAGGTTGCTTTCTCTTTGAATCCAGCAGGATTGTGGGCCAAAGCCAAAGTGACCAAGAAGGGTGCTTTGAAGTTAGTACCATTGGGTCACATCACCATGGTCACCATTGAGAAACCCCACATGCTCACCATTGAAGCATTCTCCAAGAAGTGGCTGATCTCACCATGGAAGATGGATTCCATGTTTGACAAACCAGAGCATCCATTGCTGCCATTCTGGTGGGCCAAGAAATCCAATGACACCACTGTGTGCAATTTGGAATGGCACCAAGTGGTAGTGAACAATTGCAAGATCCCAATCCTGACCAACACAGGACCAGTGGAAGCACATACTCAGTTGATCTTTCCAAAGGAGACAGAAGATGAGGAACCAGCAGGTGGAGCAGGAGAAGCTCCAACACCAGCCAAGAAGAGAAAGAAGAAACAGACAGCCTGAATGCACCAGCCAAGAGCAGGAGAAAGCTCCACAAGTTTCACTTGCCTTCCAGTGGCACCAATTTCAGGCACATGAAAGCAGAGGCAACAAAGGCAAGCTTGCTGGATGATATTGTTTCTTTTCGCACACCAAGAATTTCATTCAGGGTTTTGTCATTGCAAGACTATGACTAAGGCAAAGAAACTGTGTATGTAAGGACCACATGTGGTTAACCAACAAAAGCCACATTGGCTTGTAGGATGCAACAAAGGCCACAATGGCTTACAGAATGAAACAAAAGCCAACCATGGCAGTTCATAGTTACCATATGTCCACACACTGGAGCTGAGCACATGTGAACCAGGCAAACTACAATCCATGTATTTGTTTTGGTTCCACTTCAGCCACCAGCTCAACAGTTCAGGTACTGCCAAAGTTGACCAAGTCTGGTTGCCATGGGCCAGCCCATGAGTTTGCCATGTTGCTCTGCCAGAGATGGGAAGAGCCACCTGCAAGACCAAGAGGTCCAAACACCAAGCCATGTGGCATGGGTGAACCCCAACCCATGGGTGGATGACCCCCAATGGACCCAACTCCAAAGGGTGGCCAAGTATGCTCTCCATTTGATGAAGCCACACAAGAGACCACTGGCATGGTACCACTGCAGGGGCTACCATGGCCAAGAGAGGTGCCAGAGGTTCATCATGGCCATGGATGTGGACCATGAGACCAGGAATTGTCCAACATGTGGGCATCCATGGAGGTTCACCATCATGGATAGCCAGCCATGTGTGGCACCTCTGGGAGATGATGCCATCAGAGTCGAACCAGGACAGAAGATCATGCCAGATTGAATTGCCAGAAAAATGATTTGTTTTCCTTCATGCATCCCAATACATGTCTCCCAAAATACATATCCATTTTTGTCAACCCACATAGGCCCATTTGATATGAAGTTTGTTTGTTTGTTTTCCATCCATGCTGCATCATGGCAGGACAGCCATCAGAAGCAGCACCACTGAGGAAGCAGGGGCCCACATGTGGCCCATTCGACCACACCCAGCCATGTGGGTGCTACTTTCCATGAATGGAATGTAAAAAGAAAGCTTTCAGTGAGCAGCTGCAGCAGCAAAAGCCATTTTGGCCAACTCACCACCAAATGCCACAGTGGCATACTTACTTGACAAAAGCCATTTTATG